TTTTTTTTTTTCCCCACATCAACGCAGTGATGGTGATAACAAAATAAAAGGGGTAGGGTGAAAAATAGAACTGACTCCAGGGACTTACCTTTACAAAAACTTCTTGACAGGCTGCTAGAGCTGGGGTTGTTCAGCCTGGAGAAGAAAAGGCTCTGGAGAGACCTCAGTAGCCCTCCTGTACCTGGAGGGAGATGGACTTTTCATACAAGCAGGTAGTGACAGGACAAGGGGTAAWAGTTTTAGACTGAAAGAGGGCAGATTTAGATTAGATACAGGAAGAAACTCTTYACTGTGAGGGTGGTGTCACTGGCACAGATTGCCCAGAGCAGTTGTGGATGTCCCGTCCCTGGGAGTGTTCAAGGCCAGGCTGGATGGGGCCCTGAGCAATGCGGTCTAATGAAAGRTGACCCTGTCCACGGCAGGGGGTTTGAACTGGATGGTCTTTAAAATACCGTCTAACCCAAGCCATTCTGGGACCGAGAGGGCTAATTCAGAACTACAAGCAGGAGCCGCGGAGGCGGCAACAGGGCCCGGCCTCTCCCCGCTCCAGACCGGGACCGCCGCGAGGCGCCATAGCCGCGGGGAAAGAACTACAGCTCCCGTCGTGCCCCACGAGCAGCGCGGCGGGAACAAGCTCTCCGCTGATTTGCTGTCCTTTCCGCTGCTCCCGCCAATCAGACTCACAGCTGACAGGGGGCGCTCTCCCCGCGCATGAGGCGGGCTAGCGGCGTCCTGGGAGCGATGGAGCAGGACCGGGAAGAGGTGAGTGGGATGGGACGGAACGGAACCGGACCGGACMGGACCTCCGACGGGACCTCCGACGGGGCTCTAGCTGGGCTGCTTCTGGAGGCGGCGATGGGTCCGTCTGATCGTGGCGGGACGGACCCCTGCGTCCCCCTCAGCTTCCTGAGGAGGCTCCAGGTGATGCTGCCCTTGCTTGGTAGCCCTGGGGACTTGTAACGTGTTCGCAAGTTTCACTCGCCTGTTGAGGAAGAGTAACGATGCAATGGTGCTCACGTCCTACGAGCTGGTGGAAGGTGCACCTACACAGGGACTAGAAGGCGATGAAAATATTTCTTTTTTAGAGGAGTTCAGGCCTTTCAGACGTCAGGAAATCTGTCTGAGGGCCTGGATCCACAGGAGAACAACTCTTTTTTTAGGGAACAACGTGGGAGCCTAGGGTCTGTTTTGTGTGAAAGCCAGGGAGGATGCGGGGAGACAACAGTGAGTGAAATCTGATCTTCCCGGCCATGTGTCTGTAATGATAGCTAGAAGCCAGGGATCAGTGGGAATTTAGCACTGAAAGGTGATGGGCTTGCCGCTGATCTTTCGTTGTTGCCCATGTGGATGAACAATTGTATCCTCCTGCCTCATGTAGCTGCTCGAATCTGCCTTTCTGTTCCATCACTCCCTGTGCTAATGCTGACTTCTTGCTGCTCCTTCATGTCCCGGCTTCTTTTGTGCCTGTTTGGAGCCTGGTTCAAGATTCTCCTAGTCTGAGACACAATCACTGTTTTTCTGTGCTCTTTTTTTTCAGTTGCTGCCTTGCAGCTCTTTTGCTGCAACAAAAAGTACAAAGAGCTAATGAAGATGTTTAGCTGTGAAGGCATCTTGTTTTAGGCAAAAACCTATAACAAACATTCTGCCATCCTGCTGGTGCAGTTTCTGAACTGAGGCCAGCTATGGACTATGCAGTTTCCAGAGGACATGAATTACCTCCAGGGCTGAGTTGGCCCGGCTAACTTCCAGGCTGTGCTGTTCTTGGGAGCTGTGGTGGCAGGAACGTGCAGCTTTGTGTTCTGCTTTGGGAGTCTGTGGTGGCTTTATTGTGATGGTGTCTGCACTAGTGTGCTATGCCACTCTGTTGGGAGAAGGACACAGTCTCATCTGTCCTTCATCAGATGCTTTGTCCTGTACTTTTTTTCCTGAATCTTTTTTCTATCTCGCTGCAGCCCTGTGGCACTTTCCTCTTGGGAAGCAAAATGCAGCCTGTGGAATACCAGTAAAGGGACCAGCTTGGGGATAGGGGTTCAGACTCCTGCCTTTGGGGTTGTTATGTGAACCCCTTGTTCGTCCTGAGGCTATGCCCTGGCTCAAGAGGTCCCCCTGGCARCAGAGGCAGGTTTATTGTGCAGTGCGGTGTACAACGTCAATTTTAAAGCAGACTGGCTCTTTTTGTAGTTGGTGTCTGCCTTCTGCCACAAAACTTCATCTTTGGAGCGGGTGGAGGATGAAGGCGGTGACGATGAGGATGATGAATTGGACATCTTTGGGGGCTATGACAGCCTCACGTGCTACAACAGCAGCATGGGCAGTGACAGCAGCTCCTGTCTGGAGGAGTCTAGTGATGATGAGGTGGCAGACCGGGAAGCTGGAGAGCTTTCGACTTCTCCGATGCACCAGCCATCCACAGGCCGGCACACAGAAGACAGTGGCTCTGAGCCAGGTACTGCCTGTGCTCCCTAAAATGTGTTTGGGGGCAGTGAAGGGTCTATGGCTGCACTTTGGGAATGCTTTGGGAGCAGTTTTGGATTCAGACTGTGTTTTCTGGGCTATGTGGGTGATCTGCTCTGTATAATGATGGTTAACTAGTCTCAACTCTGTCCTGGTAGTGCGTTGACTCTGTCAAATGCTCACGTTTTTGGCCTTCCTTCTCTCAGCTGTGTGCGAAATGTGTGGGATTGTGGGCACCAGGGAGGCTTTCTTCTCCAAGACCAAACGTTTCTGCAGTGTTTCCTGCTCCAGAAGCTACTCCTCAAATTCCAAAAAAGCCAGCATCCTGGCCAGATTACAGGTGAGTTAAAACCTTTCTATCTGGCTCTCAGGCTCCATTGTCCTTTCAGACTCTTGTCCTGCTGGGGGACTTCAACCATCCCAATACCTGAAAAAAGTAGCATGGCAAGTTGTTGGTAATCCAGGAGACTCCTGAAATGCATGGAGGGTAATTTCTTAAGCCAGGGGATAGACAGCTGTAACAGRAGGAACACACAGCAGATTTGATGGTGACCAAGATAAGTGAACTGATTGGGGATATCAAGATTGGAGGTAGCCTGGGCTGCAGTGATTATGCGTTGGTGGAATTTGTAATCTTGAAGAATATAAGTCAGGTAAGGAGTAAAGTCAGGCTTTTGAACCTTAGGAAGGCAGACTTCTAGCTCTTCAGGGAGATTCTATAATTCTATGAGCTTTCCTGGGGATGGAGCAGGATATGCCTTTATGTAGGGGTACATGGTTGCTCTCTAATTAAAGATCAGACTGACATTCCCAGTGGCTTCTTTCTGCCTCAAGTCCCCAGAGAAGGCAWGCCAGCTTAATGGTGGTGCTCCCTCAAAGCTGAGAAAGGACACATAGATATTTTACTTGCTGTTTCTTGTCCTGGGAGTGTTAATAAATTTTGCAGTAACCTGAAAAYTGGCCCAAGGAAGAGAGGCATACCCATTTTTAGGGGGTGATGTAGTCTCCTGTGCCATTAATGTTTCTAATGTTCCTTCTTTTGTAGGGGAAACCACCAACGAAGAAAGCTAAAGTTCTGCACAAGGCATCCTGGTCAGCCAAGATAGGGGCCTTCCTCCATTCACAGGGCACAGGACAACTGGCAGATGGGACACTGACAGGTCAGGATGGTGAGTGTAGGTGAGGTGTGAGGAGGTGCAGCTGCTGGAGTCATAGAAATAGGGACATCTTGAGGGCTGTAAGCTCTGCGGTCCTCCTCCTCCTCCTCTCTGGTACACTGCCTTGTAGTGATACAATGTGTGTAGATCTMTCTGACACAGCTGGCAGGACAAAGGGCATATCTCCTTTTCTCTTCGTGCCCTGGTGGAAGTTCCTGCCCATCCACTGTTGTAGCCTCATCCTCACTCCTTGTATGACTTGACCTGGAGTGTCTGTGGTCCCAGTCCCACAAGGTGCTGACTTCTGCTGGCAATGTGACTTAAAGGTGTCCTGCTTCTCCCAGCCATTTGCTGCCCCATCGCTTGCAGGAAGTTATATTTCCCTTGAGTAACTCACTGATCAACTTGAGCAGTAACCAGTCACTGCAGGTGAAGGAGCAGCACTTTTTGTTTTAGAGAAAAGGGGAGTCCCAGGGCATGGCAGCAGGGAGTGATCCCTGAGCAGACTGCTGCTGGAGCAGAGCTGTAGCCCTTCACCAGGAGTGATCATGGGATTAATCTCTCAGATTGATGTCTCTTGATTTTCCCAGTACCCTCTGGGGAAGCAAGTGCTGCTGCTATGACCCTGCAATGTTACTGCTGAGGGGGAAAGCTGTGACGTGGTTTAGCCATGAAAGGATGCATTCTCCCTGGAGTGCTTTAGCCCTGGGCTAGATTTGACTCCTTTTATTGCCYTTTTTGCTCCCCCTTTTCCAAAAGCAAGTGACTGTAAACATTACTTAATAATATATGTTACCTCTTGTGGGGGCTTGTGAGCATGTGCTCATAGAGTCTAGTTTCCCACGGGAGAAAATGCAGTGGAATTCATAATCCCTGTGTGTTGTGTCCTAGTGCCTGAAGGCTGCAGGCTGTAGTCCTGCAGTTTGAGACAATGTTTTCTGTGGAGGCTGTAGTCCTCTCAGTTTGAGACAATGTTTTCAGAGGAAAATGTTACAGGGTAAATGTTTCCTCTGAAGTGAAAAATTTGATAATTTTCCCCACCAATATGAAGTAGATGTTTGGGCAAAAGTGAAGAAAAAAATAGTTTATTAACAAAACAAGGTGCCCACAGGACACAGATAAAAAGTAACTGTTAGATATTTAAAAGTCCAGGAACACACACCACTCCCACCCCCCACAGCTGCTCAGCCAAGTGGTGCAGAGAAAGATGGCAGGGCTCATGTCCTAGGGAAAAAAAAAAAGGAAGAAAAGAAAAGTCCATGTGGCCGTTGGGGCAACAGTGGCAACCTCGTGGCAGTCCTCACTGTGGATGAAACAGAGGGCTCGGTGTGCTTTTCTGTCACCGGTTTGGCTTCTTCTGGAGTCYGGGATGAGATGGAGCAGYGCGGCTTGTCCCTGCCGGCACCCAGCTAGTCGGCACTTGCCTCCTGGTTCTTGGACTGCAGCCCTGCCGATCCACTCCGGAAAATCACAGGAGCTGCAGAAGGGAYGGGAGTCCAGGGAGGGCTGTTTGCCCAAGCTAACAAACCCGAGCTAGCTARGTGGTAACAATATAACTCTCCTGCAGCAACCAGGGGAACTCTCCCAGCTGCAGCTGAGCAACCAAAAAGCAAATGGCTTCGCTGCCCACGCTGCCTTCCCAGCTGCCCCTACCCCTTCTTCCGGGTCAGATTTAAAGGCACAGGGACATTTTGGGCATACAAGCAGATGGAATATCGGAATAGAGTGTTACCATAAAATCAACCCAAGACAAGTCCAGAAGTAACTCTGTGCTACTCTGTTATCTCACCTGATTTTTTGCTCTCATATCTGCTTATAGCACTCGTCCTGGGCTTTGACTGGGGAAAATACCTGCAGGAGCACAGCTACAAGGCAGCTCCTGTCAGTTGCTTCAAACACGTGAGTTCTACTTTGCTGTGCATGGCAGGACACATGGGATGTGTCATTGCTTGGACCTCCCCTGTGACAGGTGGTGTGCAGAGGCATGGTGCATGGTTATTGAGCCCCAGGTGATGCAAGGAAAGAAGTTTGGGTTTCTTGCAGCAAAGAGTGGGAGTCTCACAAAGGGACCAGGAGTTTTGGGGGAAGGAAGCAGAGGGGGGCTTGACAGAAGCACTGCTGGTAGTGATGCCTAAGATTTTTAGCTTTTTATATTTCTCATGTATTTGTAGCTTTGTAGGTTGCCTGTAGCTTCTAGTATTTTTCCTYTCTTCCCTACATCTAAGACCAATAGACTAACCTTATAAACACATTCCTAAATATTGTTTAGTCTTATTCCAAGAACCAACTGTAAGGACATTCTGTTTTCCAACCAGAATCTGAATCAGACATAACWAAAGTGGGGCAAAAGAAATCTCCAGACTGCTTCCAGTCAGTCAGGATCCCAGGAATTATTACTTAAACAACTAACCTTTTACTTGGACTTTTGCTATCAGTGTATGATAAGTATACTAATCAACTAACCTTATAAAAATTGTAACCACATGTGATGGTTGCCATATTGTGTACCTGAAAGCTTTCAAGTAATCATTTGCTTTTATATTCTCTCTAACATTGTTGGGAATATCTATTCTATTTTCCAGATGTCASTAGTGATGGCCTAGTGCTGACTGGGAGCACAATTAGTTCTGACTGGGGATAATAGTGGGAAGCTAGCTTTGCAGTCTGYATGGCTGAGCACAGCCCAGGGTGTTGTGCAGAGAGGAACTCATCTTATGTGAGCCTGGCTGCCCCTCCAGGATGTCTGATTCTAATAAGACTCATCATACTCTGGTCTGATAACACTGATAGCATTTCCTTTTTCTTGAGGATAGCTCAGGCAGACATGGCAGTTCTATTGACTCTTAAGTATTTTTATGCCATAGAGGAATGGGAGCAGCATCTTTGGGATAACAGGATAGCTGACTCTGAAATAGTTAAGCACTGCTATATGATGTTCTGCCTTTTGGGATCCTCGTTGAACACCCCAATGAGATGTTTGGGACAGCTGTATTTCAAGGTGTTGGCAYATGTAGGAGGGTTAAGGCAGGCAAGCCTATGTCTAAGGCATGCAGCCTGTAGCTGCCTAAGACATGTGTCTGAATGCTAGAAAGGCTGCTCTGATTGTCCACATCCCTGTCCCAACATGGCTGCCTCAATCCTTCAGGTGCCACTCTTCGATCAGTGGGATGATGTGGTGAAAGGTATGAAAGTGGAAGTGCTGAACAGTGATGCTGTGCTCCCCAGCCGTGTGTACTGGATTGCATCTGTCATCCAGATTGTAGGTATGTCTCCAATGTAATCCTTGACGGCTGGGCATGGCTAAGCTCTAAGGGCAGCTTTAGGGAGCTGAAGGTGGCTGGTCAAGCAAAACAGCAGCTCTTTGGAGCTCTACAGCTGCTGAGAGATTTTGGAACAGGAAATACCATGGTGTGGGAGTGATAGGAAACCAGCATGTGGTTCCTCTTGTTACTGGGCAATTTGCAGGAGTACTTGCTGGAGAAGCTCTGGTAACCTATGCAGAACTCTGAAGGCTGTGCTGGTACTAAGGTACTAAGCCTATGGTGCCRAATTCTAGGCCTCTAATGCTTTTGGTTGTCTGTTCTGTCCTGGCAGGATACAGGGCCCTTCTGCGATATGAAGGCTTTGAGAACGATGCTGGTCATGACTTCTGGTGCAATTTGGGCACAGTGGATATTCACCCCATTGGCTGGTGTGCCATCAAYAGCAAAATCCTGGTACCACCACAAAGTGAGTATGGGTTAAGAGGAGTCAGTACATACCTGGGCATGGAGAAACTTTGGTTTATGCCTAGCACAGGGGTCAGGTGCTCCCACTGTATGTAGGAGTGCAGCTCTATTTGTGCTTTGAGTTAAAAGCAGCGGTTTGAGTTTGGGAAGCTGGAGACTGCTTGGATGCTCCCTCTGCATCTCTCTGTCATTGACCCAGGGATGCTGTTTGCAGAGCTGATGTCAGAGCTGTGGAGGCTAAAGCAGGTGGCTTTCCTTCCTAGCCCACATGGTGGCTGGACTTAAACTTTGGGGCAACTTTTTGGTCCTATATCCTGGGCAGCATGTCTGGTAAGTGCAGTGGCTCCAGTCCCTCTGCACAGTTAGCTAGTTAGTTCAGAGAGGGATGCCAGTTTAGTGGAATTCTGTGGCAWGCTGAGATTTGCTTGTTATGGCTCGTGTTTTTGTTTGATTACCATTTCCTCATCTAGATCAGTGTAGATGAATGTCTCCTTGGCCCAGTTCATTCTGTAATGATGTCATGATCCAATTATTAAGGTTCTTAGAAATACCTCTGCTCGAATTAAGGTGCMAAMGAGACCAGATGCCCGTCAGTAGTATGGGTTTTATTTGATAGTAAATATTAGAAAGGGAGATAGAGGGAAAGAGAGAAAGGGAGGGGCAGGAAAAGAGGTGAGCGGTGCAGAAAGAGAGTGAGAGAGACAGAATAAAGAAAATATCACCATCTGTGGATCCCAACAATGTTCCGTTGATCCTCTCCAGCTGGTCTTCTTGGTGGTGATGATCCCCCAAAAAGCATAGAATCCCATGGGTTAATATATGCTCAGGCCAGGTGGCAATGTCCAGGCATGTCCCCTGGGGTGGGGGGCAATCTCTTGCWGCAGACTCTGGATCTGTTGCATCATGTGCAGTCCTTCTGGTGCACTCTGGGGAGTGCTTTGGGAGGTCTTTGGTGGATTTTAACACCCCCTCAGCTGYCTCTTACATGAATATCCCATGGATGTGGCCTGTGAGATTAAGGGTTTCACACCTGGGCCAGTCTGTGTAAGGGAAGASGGTTGTTCAGTGCCTCTGATCAGAGGTCACACCTGAAACCTTCTTCCCCTGCTCCCCATTTCAGGGGCGAGTGTGAGTAAAACTGGCTTCTGTGGGCTGTGGTCTCACCCACCCCAAATCTAGACAGGGAAGAATCTCTGCTGCATTTGCCTCTCTTGTGGAGGCCTTCCTTTATCTCAGCCTGAGATGACTGAACAATAGGTTCCCCTTATCTAATCTCAGCAGCTTGACTTTCAGTCCAAAGTCCMAGTCAGATATCTTCAGGGAGGCTTCTTTGGTTGTAGCTTCTTTATACAGTTTTTGTTATAATGAGCAAAACTTCATATCAATGTTCGAGGCATGAACTCTTTCAGTCTCTGATAAATGGTGATCCCTTCAGCCACATGTGAGGGCAAGCTGGCAAAACAGTACAGAATCTGAGCGTGAAGAAGGCCTTTTAGTACTAATGGGCTCTCAGAGAGATAAAAAGTGTAGTGCGGTGCTGTAATTATTTTGGTTATAAAGATGGGCTTTTTTCCTGTCCATATGTAGCTATCCATGCCAAGTACACTGACTGGAGAAGTTACCTTATGAAAAAACTGGTGGGAGCCAGGACCATCCCAGTGGATTTCCACATAAAGGTAAACATGGAAGGCTGTGATTTTGCATGAAGGAAATGAAGTCAAGATGTGTGCTCAGCATATCTCTTCTGGTTCCGATCTGTGCAACTTTTGTGTGCCKTGAAACCTGGGCAGGGCAGGAGCAGTGAGTGTTTCTACATGCTCCTAAGATACCTGTTGTGATGCTGTGGGTAATGGCACAGCCCTCTCTCAGCACAGCTTCTCCTTTGGATCATAGGCAGGCTGTAAAAGCTCTTGTCACACAGTCTGCGGGAAAATGCTGGGGATGAGGTTTGCCATTTTGCTGACGGGAAAGGCCAGTGCAGCTCCAGAATAACCTTTCCCTGCCCTGTTTCAGTGCCAGGGAATAGCTCTGAGAGTAAAAAAGCTTTGCCTTCAATGTTGGTAGCAAAGGAACCTGCAGTGATTGCGAAGGCCACAGGCTTCCTSGAAGTGCCATGGCCTTGACATCTTAATAGCTTTCATGATTGTTTTCTTGTAGCCTGCACTGAGATTAGACCTTGTTAGAGAGAATAGGGTCTTTTGTGGCCAGAGAGCTTTGGAAATGGTAAAGAAGACAGTCCCAGAGACAGCAGTCAGGAAGGCCAGTGAYAGGTTTTCCCGTGTGCAAGGTGAATGGTGACACTGAGCTGAAGATCTGGATGTAGTTAGTGTTTCCCCTGGTACTTCTCAAAAAGTTAAAAGGGTGTTTGTAGCTGCTTGTTCCTGGGCCACACCTTGAAGCTGGAACGGAAGTGGTTGAGGGAAATAGGTACTGTTGATGTCTTTCTCCCCTCAGATTCTCCACTCCCACCTAATAAACAGGAGGTGGAAGGGAAAGAACTTGTTTTTGAAGTTCTAAATTCAGATGTAGGTTGGTTTGGGTGTCTACTTTGTGTTTCCTAGTTGCTGCATAGCATCTTGGGATCACAGTTCCAAAATGTCAGGTGTTCTATAAACACTATTGGACATTTGCAGATGAGTATGAGCAAACTGAAGCTCTCAAAAAAAGGCAGAAACCAGCCAGTGGCTCTTTCCACTGTCAGGCCTGTGCCTTTGGGCAGTCTGCAACTGGCTTTGCATGTGGAGTTGGCAGATAAATCATCATGTAGTTCACCCTCTGATCAAAATAAAAAGGTGAAAATAAGATCCTGACCTCTTTTTGAAGTCAACTGAAAATCCTGTTGCCCTTTGGGAAGCTATACCTCTAACTAATTGCAGCCTTGAAACTCTTACGATCTTTTTYGTGACTGAAAAATGCACACAATTCCTCACTCAGTTTCTGGTGAACAGAAGTTCACACTCAGAACAGTCACACAAGGTGCTGGCTGCGCATGGCTGCTGCTCTGGGGTGGGGTAGTTCTTATGAGGCCACATGACAAGGGAGACTCATGRCATCTGTGCCCAACCACACTGTCGTGTCTGAGGCTGCCAGCTGCGTATCCCCCTGATGAGCCCATTCCCACGCATCCCATCCTAGTCAGCCTTGGGCAGTGCCAGGGTGCAATGTCTGTGGGGAAGGTTGTTCTCTGAAGTGTTTGGAGAGCACTGTGATTGATCTCACCTCCTCTGTTSGTTGTTGTCAGATGGCAGAGAGCATGAAGTACCCATTCCGACAGGGCATGCGGGTTGAAGTGGTGGATAAGAACCATGTGTCCCAGACACGTATGGCAGTGGTGGACACAGTGATTGGGGGCAGACTGAGACTTCTCTATGAGGACGGTGACAGCGATGATGACTTCTGGTGCCACATGTGGAGTCCCCTCATCCACCCTGTGGGCTGGTCACGGAGAGTGGGCCATGACATAAAGAAGACAGGTAAAAATCGGGCCACTTAACCGTCTTCTGATTTGCTGTGAACTGCCTGCACCCTGCTGTTGCCACCAGCCTTGACATGCTGGGAGTGAGGCAGTTGCCTCAGGACCAGGTAAAGTCTGCTTAGTTTTGTGTCTGCTGCTTTTTTATCTGGATGGATAAAAGCCCTGTGATCACAGGTCAGGACAGGTTCTTACCTGAAGCAGGCAGTCCATCCYCTTAGTGTGAGAATGCAGACTGCGCAACATTACAGATGTTTATAATATTTTTAAGGAAATTTGTGCTGGCTTCTGGATGCTGTCAGGTTGTGTTTTTCTGAACTTTACCAAGAGGAATTGTTGATGAGCTTAAGCTGGCAGAAAAAAAGCAAGATTTGAGCTCTGCTTATCCTTTTGGTTGTTTCTCCATTCCTTGCTTCCTCTCCTGGTGATTACAACTGCATGTAGAGTGTTATCAGTTGTGCTCAGGAAGCTGAGCCATCTGCTTCTGAGCAAGCCCTTCATCACAGCTCATTTTATGAGAAGTGTAGAGGGACTGACCTGTTCTTTTTAATAAATGGCCTCATATTGAGTGCATTTATAGCAGCTAAGCTCTCACAAGAAAATTAATAACCGGTATGTTTTCTTACTGCAGTTGCTTCAGGTTTTTTATTTCTCTGTGTTTCTTCCCTTCCTCACAGAAGAAAAACGTAATGACATGGCAAACCATCCCACGTTCCGGAAGATTTACTGTGATGCTGTTCCCTATCTGTTTAAGAAGGTAGGACAAGTTTACCTTTCAGTTTACCTGCACAAAAAAGGAAGCATTGATAGCACTTTCTTCCTTGGACATCCTTTTTGAGGGTGGCTTACTTGTCTTTCTTATAGCTAAGGGCAGGAAGGTATTTGGGGTGTCAAGGCTGTGGTTAAGCAGGAGCAGGTCAAACTAGAAAGCTGAAAGAACTAACAGGCAGTGACAGATTGAGGGACTCAATTGAAAGGCAAACAAAGGAGCTTTGAGTTGGAGAGGGACAAGGAACTGGATCATGGTGGTAGGAAATGAGATGAGGGGGTGGCTTGCTTTGTTGTGGAGCAGCAACTGAGTCCTGGCTTGGTTCTCACTGACCGGAGCCATGGCAGGAGGTTGCTGACACAAATATAGTGTTAGTTTGGCTGCCTCTTTGTATTTCTTRTAATATTTCTGCTTTCACCTCTCGACTTGAGTAGAGCCAAGTGAAGAAGTTCTAATCCTTGTACTTGCACTTGCTGTGCTCTGTGTCAGGATGGGACTGTCCCATACCCCCGGCAGCACATGGTATACCAGAGTCTTCCCATAGGTACGAGCTGTCTATTCTGAAGGTGGATGGTTTGAGCAAGGCATGAAACTGGAAGCCATAGACCCCCTGAATCTGGGCAACATCTGTGTGGCCACTGTTTGCAAGGTAAGTTCAGTGGGCCTAAGGGGGGTCTTGTTATGTTTAATTAAGATAATCCAGCTTCTCCTCAGGTATTTTCAAATCAATAAAACCAGGTAGGATTTTGCACGAGGGAGAGGAGAGCGCAGTTAAGAGAGATGGATGGCTGCTGTGTGGAGGGAGCTGGGGGGGTTACCTCAGAAGTCTGAGAAGCTGTTGTCCATGTGTGTCTAAATGGACAGCATGAAAAATGAGCATGCCTGGTCTGCAAGCTAGTGTCCAGTGTGTCTGACTGGCAGCCCCCCTTCTTCCACCTTTGGGCATGCAGTTGGGAAGATTTGTTCTCCAATCCTGAGAGTGCATAGAGAGGCCTCTGTGGGAAGAAGGGAAGAGTTGTGAGGTGAYCTCTATGTGGGGAATGGCATGTGGAAGCTGAGGATAGACCTGTCTCCTTCAGTCTCTCTTGATGAGGTGGTAATAGGCTCTGCTCTTGTTCTAGTGTTGAGAATTGCCTGCCCAGGTTTCCTCAGTGAAGTATGTTGAATGTTGAAAGTGTAGCATCAATCTGGGCTTTTCCTGCTTCCTCAAGAAGCTGTTCACCCTCGTAGAACCAAGCTGAGGTCTTTGACACTCAAGTTTGGCAGTGGGATGCTAGGAGAGCTATCTGTGTCTGTAAAATGTTCCCTTCAGCYATTGCATGCATGTGGAAGAGTTTGGGACAATCATGCCTATTGCATTTGGTAGGCAGCAATTACCAGTGAGTGACAGGATGGGCTAAATCTTGTTGCTGTACAAAGTAGCAAATCCAAGGGTGGTGTCCTTCCCTTCTACCCAGTAACAAATTCATTATTTGGCTGGTGTAGAAAGTTTTTGGGCTGATAATGAGTGTTTCTGGGGATGAACAGAGCTCCCGACCACTTAAGGCTTTTTACACAGGCCTTTCACAAAGCTCTTAGTGTTGGTCCCAGTCCTGCTGAAATTGCTACTTTGGGGATTAGCTTGTGTTGACTAAYATATTAGGAGAAGTTACTGCATGCCTGGGGCATATAACATTGCATTTTACTATGTAGTGGCAGTTGTGATTGATCTGTGGGGGCTCTTGAGAGAATCTTTTGTGGGGAGGAGAGGCTTTAGAGCAAGCAAAGCTCTACACACATGCCTTCACTCCCATCTCAGGTTCTCTTGGATGGGTATCTCATGATCAACATTGATGGAGCCACGTCTGATGATGGCTCTGACTGGTTCTGCTACCATGCCTCTTCACATGCCATCTTCCCTGCCAACTTTTGTAAGAGAAACAACATCGAACTGACTCCTCCAAAAGGTGAGATTTGAACTCTGCATTTTTCTGCATGCAGAATTTGATGGGTGGTGTTTTTCTGAGAGGGGTCAAGCTCAGATGAATGAAGACAAGATCCCAATCCGCTTGTTTTTCAGGGAGACCAGGCTAGTTAAGAGAGCTGGGCTGTTTGAGCTCTGCCCATATACCAAGTCTTGTTTAGCTCCTGGCAGATCAGTGGGAGAGGTGTATGATCCCCAAACTGAACAGGAGAAGGTTTTAAAGGACAAGGAAGGTGGGAATGGATAAGTAGAGTCATTGCTGCAGGAGTCAGTATTTAAGTGTCAGGAGTTATTTCTAATCTTTTCTCTTTGAGTAGATCTGACACAAGTATTTCTTTAAACTCGGAAAAGACAATCACCCTAGGAGTGTTTTTGCTGTCTCATTTAGCYATACCCAAAAAGGCCTGCTTTGACCTTCTATGTTGCATTTTTGTGCAGTACTGTTCCATCTTCCTTTCATGTTCCTGCTCGTGGAAGAAAGAAAGATTGGTCTTACTGGTGTGTTTTGAACACACTACTTCCTACCTGCTGATGCTCCTCACCTTTCTCTGTGGTCTGGTCTATGGCTGACATGGGTGTTCAGAACTGCAACTTGCACTTTCCTCTTATTTGCCTGCTGGAGAGGGGTGCTGGACTCCCATGGAATCCATGCACTAAGTTCATGTCCAAGATCAGGCTGTATATGCTGGTTCATGAACCTGCTTTGCAAACAGTTGCTGTGCCTCCTTCCTGCCTCCTCTGCCTTCTCCTGCAGTTGGTGTACCCAGTGACTGCTTTTTACCTTTCAGTGTTTCTTCCTGCTGCAGGGCACAATGCAAAGACCTTCAGCTGGGAACGTTACCTGGAAGAGACCAAAGCAAGACCAGCTCCGTCACGGCTCTTCAACACAGTGAGTGATGCCAGGAAGAAATTATGTGTAGGGATGCTTGGAGTGAGCAAGGAGGAGTGTGAGAGCTCTGGCTGTCACAGGATCAATGAGGTAGAAGTGACTTCACTTGGGGTGTCCAACACCCTTGCTACAGCAGGGGTCACCTGTAGCAGATTGCTCAGGACCATGTCCAGATTACTTCTAGATGGGTGGAGACTCCACAACCATGTGGGCAACCTGTGTCACTGCTCATTGGCACTCATTGTAGAGCGTGTCTCCTGATGTTCACAGGGAAACTCCTGTGTTTAAGTTTGTGCCCATTAACTCTAGACACAAACTGAGAGGAATCTGGGCACCACTTAAAGGAATCCAGCTCCATCTTTGCACCCTCATTTTCAGGCATTTTTACACATTATTAAGGTACCCCTGAGACTTCTCCAGCATGAACAGTCACAACTCTCTTAGCCTTTCCTCATAGTTGCTCCAGTTCCCTCATCATCTTCCTGGCACTTTGGTGTATTCTCCCCAGTATGTCCATGTCTTTCTTGTACCAGGGAAAATTCAGATGTGGCCTCATCAGTGCCAAGCAGAGGGGAAGGATCACTTCTATTGATCTGCTGACAACAGGTTACCATTAGCCTTTGTCCCAGGGACACATCACTGGCCCATGTTCAACTTTGTGTCCAATGGGATTCCCAGGCCCTTTTCCACCAAACTGCTTTCCAGTCAGTCTGCCCCCAGCTTGTACTGGTGCCTGGGGTTCTTCCTCTGCAGGTATGGGATTTTACCATTTCTCCAGCTTGTCAAGGTGCCTCTGGATGGCAGCACAATCATCTAGTGTATTCTGTCTCTGCTCCCAGTTTTCTACCACAAGCAAGCTTGCTTGGTTTGACATGGCACTCTGACATGTCATTCAGATAATTAATGAAGATGTTGAATAGGATTGGGTCCAGTATTGACCCCTGGGGTACACTGGTAATTATTAGCCTCCAACTAGACTTCATGCCACTAATAATCATTGTCTGGGCCCAGTCACTCAGCCAGTTTTCAATCTTATCTTGCTGTCTCTGCACTCAGCCTGTATAGTTCAATCATCTTCTCTGTAACATTCTTATGGCAGTGTCAAAAACCTTGCTGAAGTCAGGAAAGACAATATGTAATGTCTCTACTGGGCTGCAATTGGCCTTTTAAGCAGAGCTCAGGGCCCAGGAATATATAGCCTCTAAGTAAAGGCTCTGTTTGGCTGGTTGGGACATGAGTGTTCTGCCTTTGTGGGTGTAATGATAGGTTGGTTCCTCTGAGTGTGACCTGTGATTCTGTAGTGCCTCTGTGAATTCCAGGCTCCCGGTGGGTTCTGCATTGCTGATTGCCTGTGGTTGTGTGGCTGGCATGTTGGGTGGGGGATGGGAAAACTGCTGCAGCACCTGGGCCTGTGCTGATCTTTCTGATTTCCCAGGAATAGTTGATTGTGTGTTCCTGAACTGCTGCTTACTGCTCCTCCCAGGTCAGGATCTTGCTTCTACAAGTTCCTTGACTAAGGACACAGCTGGCATTGGATCTCTTTCTGGATCTGTGGGCTTGTTCTCTGCTTGTTTTAGRGTGGAAGCTAGCCTATGTGAGGGTGCTGTTGTCCAGATACGGGTTTGGACTGAATGCAATGGCCTTGGCTTTTCTTTTTTCATTTTTTATGCACCGAGGACTGTCCAAACCATGGCTTCAAGGCAGGCATGAAGGTGGAGGCAGTGGACCTGATGGAGCCCCGGCTCATCTGTGTGGCCACCGTGAAGCGTGTAGTCCAACGTCTCCTTAGCATCCATTTTGATGGCTGGGACAACGAGTATGACCAGTGGGTGGAYTGCGAATCTCCAGACATTTATCCTGTGGGGTGGTGTGAGCTGACAGGCTACCAGCTTCAGCCTCCAGTGGTTCCAGGTGAGTGAGGCTTTTTGCTGTGGTTTCTAATGCTAGAAATAAAGGTTTCCTTCCTCCTGCTCTGTGAGTACCTCCTTTGGTTTTTGGGCCTTGTAGAGAGAAGCAAATGGCCTCTTTTGATTTGCACTGGCTACCATAAATCTTCCTCTGTTGCTACACATTCTAGCAGCTGGCAGAGGGAGGAGTCTGATGCAGCCTGAGTTTTGAGGCTGGCTCTGTTTTCCCTCTATTCCCCCACCTGCCACACCAACAGAGAATTAACTGCTCCTGAGGAAGCTGGGTAGAGTTCCAGGTGGTCCTGTCCCTGCACAGCTCCCTTTATAGCCTTAGCAGGTAGCAGTGGGAGCTCGGCCCACGCTCCCTTTTCTCATCAACTCTCTGACTCTGTCTGTAAAAGGTAAGAGCATCCTCTCAAGAGTTTGTTCCTTTCCTTGTCRCAGGGAAGCCACTGCCTCACCTTTGCAGATGTTTTCCTTCTTGTCCCAAACTACGAATCTTGTTTCTTTACTGCCCCTGCCAAGTCTGTACCGGGCCTCTCTCCCCTGTGCTGCCCCAGGCTGCCACCCTGACCCCTCGCCTGGAAGCAGAGACAGCAACTACGCTAGAGCCTTGCTTTCCCCTCAGCTGGTTGTCTTGGGAAGAGGGCTTTGGCTTGGGGGGATGGGTATATCTGTTTCTCGCTTATGTCACTTCATCCCAGTTACCTACTGGTTATGGGACTTGGCTTTCGTTTCCCTCTCGTCTCCATGACAGAGCCCACAACTCCAGTGAAGGCCAAGGAGGTGCCCAAGAAGAAGAAGAAACCCTATGGAAAGAAGAGTGAGTGATGTTTGATTAGTGCCCTCCTGCTTGCTCGCAGGCTGGGCCCAGTTAGAGGAACCCTGTCCATGTCCCATGAGTGCAGGAGAGAGAGGCCTTGTCTTGCTGTGGATGCCCTCAGTCAGCTGTGGGTTTGCAAACACAGCTTCATTCTTCTTACTTGCCCTGTTACCTAAAAAGCAGAGTTGTGTGTGGGAAGGATCCATTTTGCAGTCTGTTTTCTGTGGGCCAAGGTTATATAGCACTTGCTTCCAGGTGTGAGGTTGTCCTGCTTTCCCTGCTGTGTCCATGGTTGGAGGGAGATGTTTGCTGCAGCTGGAGGGTAGCTGGAGAGCAACCCTGCTTCGTTTGAGTGAAAGAAGGCCTTAAGATGGCTGAAGAGGCCAGTAGAAACCATTTTATTGTTTCATCTTGTCATTGTTGTCATTGTTGCAGTAGCTGTGGCAAATCATGTAGACAGACAAGAAATTCCTTGCTGGGGGGTGGAGGGGAAAGGACATCTAAAGAATATAAATATTTTCAACCTAAATAATAAGGTCAGCTAAAAACCAGAACATTCCAGTTACAATGTCTGTGCTTTGCAGCAAATATGCTCATTGCCTAGGACTAGACCCAGACAGGTAAGCAAAGCTGATTCCACACTGATTCCAAGAGGAGCTGCTCCTTGGATGTTAAGCACATGCTGAAGTGCCTTGCCTTTAATGAAGGAGAACATGAAGGAGTATATTTTGAGATGATGACTATAGAATTTTTCTCCAGTAGACCATTTCTGTTGCATAACCAGTTGGCAGCTAATGACCRTGTAGCTTTCTGTTCATTTGTGCTGGTCCCTGGCCTGTGGTTTCTCAAAGGAGCAGGGTTGCTGATTTTCCAGGGGAAAAGTAACACACTTTTGCCCATACTCTGTTATCTCTTTGTTAAGGAAAAAAGTTACCTGCCAAAGCCCGCAACATCAAGCAGACTGTGAAGAAGCCTTCTGCCACTAATACAAAACGAGAAGCAAAAGCTGCCAGCCAGGCTTTGCCAGAGCCAGCACCTGATGAGAGTAAGGGAATGAGTTACTTTACCCTGCAGCCACATCCGTCTCTGCCCTGTATACCCTCTTGGCCAATAAGTCATGGGCACCCCTAGGCAGGGAAAAGCAGCAGCATGTCCAATGTCCTTTCCTACTCCTCCAGAGAGTAGAAGAAAGCATTTGCTTGCTTTCCGTGGGAAGGTTTGCCTCCCAAGARGGTTTGGTGGGACCAGTACAGCTTGATATCTCAATGCTGCTATTGCCTGCTGAGGACCTGGCTGCCCAACTGAGCAGTCTGGTTGTGTGAGGTCAGACAAGGTGGATATGTCAGAGCTGGCTGTCACATCCTAATCCCCATAAGGGCTGTTGCAGCATGTGAACATAGCCCCTTGTGCTGTGGTGACCAGAAGAACAGCTCGGTCACCTGCCATCCCGAGTGGCTATGGGGCAGGAGAGTGGGTGAGGCACCTTGTGCACACGGGGATGGAAAGTCATGCAGGTCCCTCCTGTTCACCTACGTTTAAGTTCGCCTGTGTGAACTCAGGAAGACTGAAAATGGACCACACCAGCTTTTCCTGCCTTAGGAGTTGTTCTTGGGAGCCAGCAGCTGAATGCTACTAGGGTTTAGTCCCATCCTGATTGCTGCTGTGACCATGCATAGAGATGCACTGGCATGACAAGGCTGCCTGTGGTGAGGGACCCTCAGGAAGTGGGCTAGCCCCAGGGCCTGGGGCATTTTGAGTACCTGCATGAACAGAGCTAGTTTGGAGGTAGTACAAGTGAACATGGGTTGATTTTATTTACTTATTTTTCCCTCTCTCTGTCTGTCTCTTGTTAGTCATTGCTGTGCGGGTGAAAGAAGAAACCATTGACCCATCAGATGCAGAATTTGGAGAGACAGAGCTTCCTGTTCCCATCAGCAGCATAAAGCAGGAGGACACAGACTGATCCTGGAGTATCCCCAAGCTGCCCAAAGCAGTCTTTCCTTGTGGCTCTTTAGGGAAGGTCCTGGCAAAGCAAAGCAGAGGACCAAAAGGGCCTTCCCTTTTTAAAGCAGACCACCCTGCAACATCACAACTCTGCTTTCCTGGTGTGCAAGAAAATTTCCCCTAGACTTGTAATATTAAGGGAAACAGCAGAAAGATTGCAGGTGTGCTGAGGAGCGTGACCAGGGTGGCTACTGTGGTTGTGCATGTCTGATTTTGAAGGCACCTTTCAAAACAGGCAGAGGCTGCCACAGCACAAAAGGGCGGTTTGGGTTCTTGGCTGTGGCTGGAGATAACAAGCTGCTGTCCAATGTGATGAGTGCAGGATGTTATCAGGAAATGAGCTGCCCCCGAAGGACTTTGGTGCTGTGCTCTCCAGTTTAAGCACTGCAAACGYCAAGAAAATCAGGACAGAAAGATTGGAAAGAGATAAAGAAACAAAAAGAGAGGATGATGCCTCCTAAAGAAGTGAGATGTTTTTTCATAGAATCATAGCCCTCCACCTTTCCCTCCTCCCGTCTCTCTTCTGAACAGCCCATAGCCATCAAAAGTCACACTGCAGTCACACAATTTGTTCCACCAAGTTTCAGTAGTGGCAACAAGGTAATAACTTCAGCGGGGTGGCGTCCAGTCCCGCCTTTGATTCGATGTCCTTGCTTCGTGCTTTGGTGTAAAGGCATTTCGGCTGGGCTGTTGGYTACCTCAACCATGCCTTTAATTCCTTTGAGGTATGTCCTTGGTGTCTCCCTGTGGGTTTCTGTTACCTCAGGAGTCCCTGGCTCACCTCTGTGAAATTGTAAGTTTTCTCCCCTGTGTCTGGCACCTCTTCGAGTCACCTGCAGAGGGACCTTGCTAGCACCCTTTACACTGTATAGACAGGTGCATCCCATCCCTCCTTAACATTACAATCATTAAAGCACACCCCAATGTCATAAAAGCCAAAACCTTCTCCATGGCACCAGCCTCAAAACCAGATGTTCATCTGCACTATATATCTGCTTCTATCATTTCTTGCTTTTGAACCCAAAATTGCAGAGGACTTGGAGCATGGTTTGAATTTTTCATTTTTAACAGTTGTACTGTAACTGCTCTACAGTCTTTACCCTAAAGCCCTGTGACAAACTTCAGGAAGAGGCCAAAGGCTTGTGTATTGCTTTCCAGGCCACCAAAATCCATAGTAAATCAAAACATAGCTTTATCTGTAAATTTATCTTTTAAAGCCTTTTCAGTTTAAGCAAACTTCTCAGGCCTGACCTATGGAGCCATGGGAGGGTGAGCACATTGCTTATGATGGGATCACTGATCCCATTTCACCAGTCAGATCACTGATCAAATTCTGCAGGAAATAAAAAGATTCCATCTGCTTATGTTTTAATTCTGAGGAATTGCTGGGAATTAAGGCAACATTTTCAATAATTTTTAAGCTTTCTACCATAAGATTTGCAGTGCAGGACCTTACTGGTTGGTGCTGGTTGCAGTCCCACTCAGGGCCCTTCTATGGTTTTGGAAGCTGTGAAAGTCCTCTGAAAAACAAACCCAAACTTGTGGATAGCAGCTTTTCCACATGACTGGAGGAAGCCTTGGAAAGAAGAAGCAATTATTTGGCTTCATTGTTTGAATCATCAAGGAATGCTTCAGACTCTACAGAACATGCCTCTGTGTCCTGCAGAACCAACCCCTGCATCTTTGGCAAATCAGCACTGTTTTGGTGGCAGGAGGCTCTCCTTTGTACCTTGAGCAATATCCATGTCTCTATGGAGGGGACAACTAGAAAAACTGTTCTAGCCAGAATGTTGGTACAGTTGTATGTCCTGCACATGTCCTACACACCTTAAGAAATCCTAAGCTGTGCTCTTGTTGAAGCCTCTGGCTGGATAGTTTTTGGACCTCTTTATCTTGCTGGGCTTGCTTGCAGCCTTAGTCGTGTTAGGATTGGTTTCCCGAGCTTCACCTCGGCCCCAGGCAGGACAAGTTTGGAAAGTGGTGGAAAGCTTCACCTTCAGCCCCTGGGCTTCTGCAGGGGACCCACAGGTGGCCCCTACGCGGAGGTTGAGTTTGTTGATCCACCTGGAAATGCGGCAGAAGGTCAGGGAAAGGAATGAGACAGGGTGAAAGGAAAAATCTGCCCATAAGTGAATGATTTCTTCCAAGTCAGGCCAGGTCACCTGGATGACCTCTGAATACCTGAATATTTGCTGACCCCAGCTAGTGGCTGCTTTCCCTACATCCAGAAAGCCCAGGCAACTTCCATCCTTGCACACAGGTGTGTGCTCCAACTCGCCACCAAAATGGCCAGTGTGCTGTGAGCTTGTGCCTCCCCACAAGAGAGTCCAGCTACCCTGCAGGCAGATCCCTAAGGCTGTTCCCCGCTCWTGGCACTCACCTGTGCAGTGGAAGGAGCTGGCAGTTGCAGTGGAAAGGCACATCCTGCAGGTTGAGGATCTCCAGCCCTGTGAAGTTGCTCATGTCAGGTATGTTGCTCATTTTGTTGCTCTCTAGGTAGAGACTTCTGATCTTGGGACCAAGGCCAGTGAAGGCATGGGGGGAAATCTGCAATGGAGGGAGGGTGGATCAGGGGTGTGCTGATCGAGGCAGGGGAGCAAATCTCTGCCCCTGTATTTCTGATCATCTTAGGGGGCCTGAGAACCTGTTCTCAGCCTGGCAGCCCCATGGAAGAGCTGCTTTAAAGAGGGGGAAATTTAAGTAATGTTAATTAATTCAAGCAGTTTCAGTCATGTTTTGGAACTCAGTACACCTGTCTTCAGGCTTCTTAGAAAGAAGGTCACATACAGGAGGTCTCAGTAATCCCTGGGTGCTGTTAAAATACACAGTTTTTATGAGGGTGGTGCTAACACCACTTTGTTGAGAGGATGGAGATATTCAGGTAATAGCAATGAGGTATCTTGCAGGACAGTCTGTAATGAGAGAGAAATATGGCCAGGGCTGGGGAAGGAGGTGATCTAGGGAATGGTCTGGACCCCACTGAAACTGGGTCTTTAAGGGCTGRAGGGAGTAAGCTGCTCCAGGGCAACTTGGAGCAAGGTTGAAGTAAGCCAGTGCCACAGCTGAATCTGAAGAAATTGACTTCCCTGCCAGGCTACTGCGCATCTCCTGAAGCCTTGGGAATTTGGGGACATCTGTTTGGATGTGCCTATAGGAGTCACCAGCCCTGAGCAGTGGAACCTGTGATATGCCCTGTGGTGCCATTGCCCCTTGGTGCCATAATACACTTACCCACTCCAGGCCCATGTTGTCCAGGTAGAGGTGCTGCAGACTGGWGGCCACCGGCAGGAAGGCACTGTCCCCCATGTGCTTGATGGGGTTTCGGGAGAGCTTCAGCTCACTCAGGGCAGGYAGGCCCCACAGGGCTGCTGTGGGCACCTCCACCAGGCGGTTTCCCTCCAGCTGCAGCTTTTCCAGCATCTTGGTGGGAGCCAAGGCAGCAGGGGCAATGTGCCTGATAGAATTCCCAGCTAGGTAGAGCCAGCGGAGCCCCCTGGCTCCGGCCAGGTCACCCTCCACAAGTTCCCCAATGGCATTGTGCTGCATGTGGAGGGAGATGAGGTTGGGCAGGAGGTGGAAGGCATCTGCGGGCACACGGGTGAAGGTGTTGTGGTCCAGGTCGAGGTAGGCCAGCTGTGGGGCCCCCTCAAAGGCAGCGGCCGCCAGGGTGGAGAGATGGTTATCGCTGAGGTACAGGTAGACCAGGCTCTCCAGCCCCCGCAGCGCCCCGGGGTGCAGTACCCTGATGCTGCAGCTCTGCAGGTGGAGCGACACCAGCTCCTTCAGGCTAGGGAAGGAGTCCGGTGGCACTGTCCTGAAGGTGTTTCGGCGCAGGTCAAGAAGGCGGGTGTCACCAGGGAAGTCCCAGGGGATCTCCCTTAGGTCCCTGTTCTCACAGGACCCGTGATGGAAATCAGGGTAGCATATACACCCCTGGGGACACTGCTTGTTGCCAGCTGCCCTAGGCTGCTCTGGTGGTGTGGGGCTAGGGGGAGGCCAGAGGCGACCGCATCTCATCTCAGGGGGCTTCAGGGAATCGAGGGACCGGCCACGGAGGGCRGGGGGCGCAGCACAGGCACCCTCAGCCTGTACCCGCGCTCTTGTCAGCCACTTGTGGAAGGGGCGCAGGAGGCAGGAGCAGAGCAGAGGGTTCCCATCCAGGCTGACCCTCGCCAGCCCCCCAGCCCCAGCCAGGGGTGGCAGCCCCTGCAGCTGGTTCTCGCGGAGGTCCAGCATGCGAAGCTGGGGACTGCGGGCAAAGGCGTCAGGTGCCACATCCTGGAGGGAGGCATGGTCCAGGAAGAGGTGCCTCAGTGAGGCCATGGCCAGGGCTTCCTCAGCCACATAAGTGATGGGATTGTGACCCAGGTCTAGTCGGGTAGCCCCATCCAGCCTGGCAAGGGCCTCGCCAGGCAGTGCCTGCAGCTCATTGTGGTCCAGGCTCAGCCTGCGCAAGGCAGGCAGAGCAGCAAAGGCCTCGCTGCCCAGCACATGGAGGGAATTGTGGGACAGCCGGAGCCATCTAAGAACCTGCAGACCCTGAAAGACCATGTCTGGGAGGTAGACCAGAGCATTTCCCCTCAGGTCAAGGACAGTGAGGGACCCCAGATGGCCAAAAGCACCCGGCTGGATCTCCTCAATGCGGTTCCCCGCCAGAATGAGCTGCTGGAGAGAGGAGAGCCCATCCAGGGACTCCTGGTAGAGGAGGGCTATGCCGTTGGAGGCCAGGTTCAGGTAGACAAGCCTTCCCAGCCCCCGGAAAGCCCCTTCCTCCAGCCTCTCCACCTTGCAACGCTGCAGGTCTAAGTGTGTGAGGTAGGGGGTGGCAAGGAAGGCTCCCACTGGGATGACCATAAAACTGTTGCCCCGAAGGTCTAGTTTTTTGGTGAGCTGTCATACAAATAAAACAGTGAGTTACCCCAGGGCTGCCATACCTGTCTTCTCACCCCATCCCTCAACCTTTYTTTCCCTTGCCCACCTCTGGGATAGTGTCAGGGATGGCCATCAGGCTCCCATTGAGGCACAGGACATGGGCACGGAGGTTATCACAGTCGCAGGGTGCAGGGCAGCAGGTGGCAACCGTCGCCCCCAGGGCTGCTGCGAGCAGGAGGAGCTCCCAGCATGACCCCATGTCGGACGGCACCTGTGGCTGGAAAGAAACAGCAGTGAGGCCAGGCTCCTATGCATCCCCAGACTATTGCTTGGCACCCCATGTGCCAAGAGGGCTGCTGCTGTGACTTGGTGGGGCAGGTCTCACTGTCTCATGTTCTCACACTGTGGTTTCACAAGCTATAAATGAGGAAGAGAGTGGAAGAAGGAGAGAATGAATACTTGGAATGAAAAGTGGGGGTCACAACTAGCAGGTTAATCACAGGGAACTGGCTTGAAGCAGACACCCCACACCCTCCCTTAACATATCACTAATTTTAAGATTGCTTTGGTCTGTACAAGCTATCAATATCTTTCCCACAATTGTTTTTGTAAGGCAAGCAAGTATAGCCATCCTGGGAAAGGCTTCTGAGCTGCTACCCTTTAAATGGCAAATGTCYTATGTCTCCACCACCCTGATCATCTGCCTCCCAGCTCTCTGCCTCCTACCCTGCACGATCCCCGCTTCCCCACTAAGCTATTCATACCAGTGTTTGGAATAGAACTCCACTGTTTAGCTGCAGGAAGGAGAGGTTGGTTTTGGCTGAGCAGGAGTGAGCCCCTGGGGCGAAGGTACCAGAGAGAGGCCAAGGCTGAGGCAAACACAGAGAAGGCAGCGGACTGCAGATATGACCAGTACACCCCCTAAGCTCTCAGACAGCATCAACGGGGTCTGCAAGGCTCAAACCTGTGGAGCCATTGTGGCACACAGCCCCATGCCTATTGTAGCTCATCATCCCCTGTRGTACAGTGCCCCAACTCTGCCCTCTTGCTGTCACCACAGCTAGAGGTGGTACAGCCCACACACACTGGGCTCAGCCCCCTCCTGCACACTCACTGGCCAGTGGTACCAGTGTAATGCCCCTAAACTCAGTCCCCATGCTGTGCCTGGGGTGCTGCCACATGCCAGGCATCATCCCATCACTCCTTCCCCCACATCAGGAGGGTTCACAAACCCCGGGCTGGGAGTACCTGGACTTCAAGACGTGGTGAAGAGMGGAAAGCAGCCCTTGCCCTGTCTAGCAGCTGCTGAGCTCCTGCACCGGTGTTTGCTCTCCTTGCAGAAGTGAGAACTGAATGGACCCCGTTGTGTTCCTTTCCCAGCAGCTCTCACCGGGCAGAGCCAGAAACGTGGGAGGAGGAAAATGACGGGGGGAGGAAGGGTAAGCCAGCCCTGGAGAGAGGGCAGCAACCCAGACACTGCCTCCCCTTCGATTCACAGGGGGTGGGAGTACCRGTCTAGCAAAGCCCGTGTGGGGTTTGCATTCACACTTTCCTGGGTTCTGCCTTCCCTTTCCTGGCTGTGTTAGTCACAGGACCTACAGAGGTACATGGCAGAAAGGTGACATCCAGCCAAAATTGCAATGGCCGTGGTAAGCCTGAGCTAAAGGAGAGGCAGCTGACCAGTAGTGCCACGTTTCAGCCCTTCACTCTCAGTTTGCTTCTTTGCTTGTTTAGAGGAGGCTGAGGTGGCAGTGCCTGTGTAACATCATTAGCTTACAGAAGGACACAGAGACATTCCTTTTACTCCCWGATTGTTGTTTCACTCTCCCAGGGAACAGGAGAGATCTGCAGCCTGACAAAAATCTAAAAGATTCGAATATCTCCTTCCCCTTCGAGCCCTTCTGCTATTTGGAAATCTCAGCTGCYAGAACCTGTATATCCCATTACAGACACTGGTTTCTTCCCAGACCTGCCAGCCATCCCTGACCTTCACCTAAGGGACAGTGTGGTAGAATGTGGCTCCAGCCAGACAGTTTCAGTAGTCTGGGGAACCTTGACCACTTCCACCTGAACTACAACCTCTCTGTCCTTTCAGTGGCCACTGGGCATCTCAGCAGCAAGGCCATCAGCCAGCCAGTATGGAATTACCCATTGCATCCACCATCACCCCCACCACTCTGGCCACTGTCCCACAGCCCACCCTGCTCCCCTCTGCCTGGCCCTTCCATCATCTCTCCTCRCCAGGAGCACCCACCCCTGCCTGGACAACAGCCTGGACAGTAAAACCCTCCTGGCAGTGGCCTGGGCTCTGCTGAAGAACCATGGCAAGGTGTAATACCGGGCTGGAAATAGCACATCTGGCCCTTCCCCAGCCTCACACCCCCAAGCTTTTATTCTGTTAATTTACCCAGCAATGATCTCATCAGCTTCAGCTTCTAGTGAGGCTGAAGGGAGACAGCTGGTGTTTGTTCTCCCTAATGGAGCATGGGGACATGAAGGCAGCACACCTGAACTTCCACTTGTTGGGGGTCTCACCCACATATGCCCGAACAGATACTATTGGTTTCCATTTATATGACCTGTGCTGGCCAGGAGCTGGTTCCCATTACTGCCATTACACTGCAGACAAGCCCAGAACTGCTCCATGCACAGCTCTGCAGCACTTCTGCCTTGCTGGGCTGAGGAAGTTCAAACCAGAAATACGTGACAACAGCAATGCTTATGGGGAACGGCTGCACAAGACAGGCTGCAGCAGCACTGGAATAACCCCACCTTTCTTCAGGGCATTGCTGGGAAACTTCTGGGAGCAATTTCTAATAGAAACCAGAGTTAGCAATTCCCAGTCTCTTTTTTTTTYTTTTTTTCCTAATCCAGAAGCATAATGCAATTTTAAGGGACTTCTGCATCCATGTCCTATCTACAAGCAAATCAGTCTTCTGCAGAGACAGTTGCTTCTAGCCTCATACCCCTCTTTTTTTCTATCAGACATCTCCTCTTGACATTAAATACCAGGTGAAAATCATGTTTCTAAATACTATTTTTTGAAAAAACCTACATGATCAACCCTTCACATTTGCCTGCTGCTATGGCTTCACTATTCAAAGTTTGTTGCACAGATTCCCCCCACCATCTGGCCCACAGGTCCTTCTGCTWGCAGCAGATCCCTCTGGCCTTCCCAGGCTCCTTGTACCCACATGATCTGTGGGACCCACTGCAGATGGGCTCCTGTTGAGGTTGACCCCTTGGCTTGGTCTCTGCATCATGTTCCTCTTCTCCATGAACCTTCACCACAGTGGAGAGAYACAAAGGGCAGCAAGAGAACCGGAAGTTTCAAAGAAGGCTCCACGAGGTTTAAGCCTTACAGAAAGGTTTTTTGTGTTTCAGCTTTCTCTTTTCAGAGAAACTGATCAAGGACAGGATGAGGTGAAGAAGGCAAGGCTCAGATCTTACCAGTTTGGACACAGGAGTTCAGCTTCAGTCCAGGAAACTAGCATAAAATGCATTTTGCTCTTGACCTTGGGGCAGCCTCTTTTTAATGAGGGGACACTGCCAGCACTTTGCCACCAGAATGATGAGACGCTGCTTTCCTGAGTCTGCTGGATCACAGCCACACCAAATTTGCCCCACCCACCCGTTTCACCAGAACAGGCTTGCATGCTGGAAGAATTTAAGCAGAGTGCACACAAGTAGGTCTGCCACATACCACACATTCTAGTGTCTCATGCTTTTTTTGTGTCCCTGCTGCTTGCACAGCCTGTCAGTTCACACCAGCTTTTCCTGCATCCAAGCCCAGCGTGTGCCAGCTGTGGCACACGTTGCCTCTCACAAGAAAGCCAACTTCATCTCCTTGCCCTACTCCCAGCACTATGTATCCTGCATGTCAATGGTAAGGGAGGATGAACAGTTGCCAGCTGAAACAGAGAGAAGGAATAACTCTGTGCTGTCTGAAGAGATGTGTTGATTTGCAGAGGGTTGAAAGGAGCAGGACCAGCCTCTGATACTTACTGTGTGCTCAAGAGTGGTACAAGCAGGTGCCACAAACTCATATGGGCACATGGACAATCTTCAGACAGATTTAGGGGCATCTGCTGCTACCTGCTGAGTGCAAGAGAAAAGCACAGCCTTCTCTCTCCATATTTTTACACATGCTTGGCTTTCAAATGTGAACAGTGCACAAAAGGCCCAGTGTTTTGTCAAAGGGAAGAGAAAGGGAACACATTCCACAGGGATTTAATGGATTGTATTAATTTTCAAATCAAGCCTATTTAATTAGGATGAGAAGGAAAAGGGCAGGAATAATGAACAAAACAAGCAATGGCAAAAAATTTACAATAAAATATGCTTGCTTCCTTAAGCCATGGCCACCAGAATCAGCCAAACCACAGAGATATTCCAAGCCACAGCAAAAGGGGAAGAGTATATTAAAACTAAAATCAGCCACACGCTGCCTTTGACAATGGACTTGAAAGAAGAATCAAAGGGGGTCACACCTCACCCCTCTGACCCATGAGCAGAACCCCAGTGGCACAGGAAAGCACGGGCAGCAGCAGCAGCAGCAGCAGCACATCCTCCCTCTGGCAAGTGCTAAATGTTATCAGGCAGGAGTCAAAGTCCAATAAATTAAAATGCCCAACTGGGTTGATCCAGATGAGAGCTCTTCTGGGCCCTCCTTTTCTGTTAGTCACACCCTTGCCAATGCTACCAAAATGGAGAACTCTTCATGCTGAGCTCACAGCAGTACAGACTTATTTTAGCATAAGCACCTGCCCTGCAGACCAGGGAATCACTTCAAGAGGAGTAGGAAGACAATTCAGTAGTAGGATTTGTTCAAGTTTATGAAAGCAGAAGGACAGACTTCCTACATGAAAAAAAAACCCCAAAAAATGGCATGTCTTTGTGGGCTCTAGGATCCTCTCCCACTTTGCGGCTCCGAGTTCTCTGCTGATGACAGTCSTATGAGGAAGGAAAGGGCACACCTCTCATCTCTTACAGCTGGTGGAGGGTCTGTAAGAGCATGTGGCGAGCAAATGAACAGGAGTCAAGAGCACGGTTTGGTCTGTGGAAAGAGGAGAGAGAGATATTTAAAATACTGAATTTAAGAATGGCTTTGTATCTGCCTTTGAAAGAGCAAACAAACATGATTTCCAGCACACTGGGCTTGTATGCCCCAAAACCTACAAGTTTTGCCATCAGTTGTCTCTTCCAAAACCATTCTGTCATTGCTGCCCAGATCACTGCTTCCCATTCAGAGCTTGCTGTGGAAAACTCTCTCCTGTTGCTGAGTCCAAGTCAGAGGACAATGGCCAAGAATCAGAACATTTCCATAACTATAAACAATCTGCTGCTGACTTTTATCTCATCTTGGGTAGAATTATGTGGGTGGGAGTGGAAACCCTTTTCCTTTCTTCTGGCAGTGGGATTTTCCATAAAGTTTCACTGATTAGGGCCCCAAAACGTATGAGATGACCCTGTTAGCACTCAAACATTTTCTCACCAAATCACATTTAAAATAAGCAGCATAACCTCCTGTCCTCTCCTCTCCTGAGGTCAAGTAACACCCGACTGGCTTTGCTGGGCCACTTTTCAGGGTGACTTATAAACAGCCCAGAGAACCTGCAAAACACCACCTAAAAGGGCCCCGGACAGAGGCTGCAATAGCTAAGTCAGACTTACACAGAATAATCTGCTCCCTGAAATTAAACAATGGAAATACACTCACAGCAAGGTTAACTTGAGGCTAGATTTCTGTGATGTTCCTATCACCTCCATGTAATGTATATTTTTATTTCTGCAGGCTAATTGCTGGCTCAGCATCACTGAAACTTATAACAGTCTCTATCCATCTATAAGGGAACTTCCTCCCAAGAATGTCAATCCAACRTTTCCCACTGTTCTGAGAAGGGAAATCATTAATTTTACCTCTCTCCCATCTCACCACAGCAAAATAACCTTTAATAATGAACAGCTGTGATGCCTACTCAATTTGGGAGAGAAGGGTGAGCTGAAATAAAGAGTGGAATATCTAGGAAGGAGCAAGGAGTTCACTTCCAGGTTTATAGCACAGGAAAAATAGCAGAGGTTGTTTGATACAGCCCTCCGCATCTGCTACAGTTTAACAGAAGCACATCTTGGAGAAGACTGAACCCTTTTTATTCCTCCAAGAGCCATTCAATGCCTCACACTGAACATAGTGTCACAGAATTGCAGCTTGGAGTTTGTCTTTGAAGTGGCTGGGAGAGGTATTTCAGCCCTCATCTTTGAAAGAGCCAGCCCTGTTTGCAGTGAGCAGGTTAGTTCCATCCACGCAGCTATCCATGGTAGTTTCTCTGTTTGGAAACAGAGAACCTGGACTACTGATGCTGATCACGGATAACATCTCTCAGCCCCCACTCCTAACTCCTAAGCCTCCTCTACGCTAAAATTCTCCTTATTTACTGTGGAGTTACCCACCTGCCACTCTGTGCTACAGACTGTTGAAAGGGACCAATGATATGATGCAATTCAACAGCAAAGAGCAGCATTTACAAAAAAAATAAAAAAAGTCAATCAAACAAAGATCCCATCACCTCCAGCAAGTCACAAGGTATCAGGCAGACTTTCAGTGTTTCCACCTAAATAATTATGTAAAAAGTACATGTAGATTCACAGCACCCTCTTGCGTCCAGTAAAACCCAAATAAGGATTGACAGCAAGAACAGTAAGATGGATGCTGCTTACAGTCTGTATTGACAATTCTGTAATTATTATGGAATAGAGAACAGTGCCTACAAGAACAAATTGTCACAAAACAAAGGAGGTAGGTGACTGCCCCAGAAGCCCCTTGCAGTGAAAGACAGCAGAGTTCTGGCCTAGGCAGCTACAAGAACTTCACGATTCTAAAAGCCAAAAAAAACCTAATTGTAAACCAAAAAGAGAGAAAAAAAAAAGGCCACAAAAAAAGAAAATGCACAAAAATGCATACCAGTTTTCTGCAAGTGTGGGAAGCATGGATTTGACAGAGTGGAAATAGATTTGCTGCAGAAACAGGACAGAGTTCTGACCATTACTAGGTTAATCAGGTAGAGGTTTAGCTTTAAGATTGCAATGTTACTCTGAATTCCAAAAAGAGACAAGGGATAGAARTTAATTGAGAAGCTGTGTGTTGGTTTTGGCTGGGACAAAAAAATTTTCTTCACAGGAAGAGCTGTGTTTTGGATTTGTGCTGGAAGCAGTGCTGATAACAGGGATGTTTCAGTTACTGCTGAGCAGTGCTCACACAGCATCAAGGCATTTTGTTTCTCATGCCACTGCACCACTGAGTAGGCCAGGGGTGCAGAAGAAGCCAGGACAGCAGACTGCAACTATCACAAGGGATATTCCATAGCACATGGCATCACACTGATCACATAAAGTAAAAGCAAGCCATGATGGAGCTTTCCTGGAGCTGGTAGAAGTGGTAAATGAATTCCTTGTTTTGCTTGCAAGGAAAGATGCAGCTTTCGCTTTACCTATTAACCCATCTTTATATCAACCCACAAGTTTYGTCCCTTTCAGTCTTCAACTTCTCTTCCCCATTACACTGGTGTATGAGTATGTGGCTGTATGGGGCTTAGGTATCAGCTGGGGTTAAACCACAACAAGCTGTTTTAACTGGACTGTGGGATTCTTGAACTGTTTACATTTACCCACTCTTAGATTTAAGAGCTGTTATCCTTGTTTCCCTTAGGGAAAGCATTGTAAGAAATACCTGTGTTCATATAGCAAAGATCTATTGCTTGTATCTAGTGTGGACATCATTATGCAGCACAAGACAGAAGTTTCTCTATAAAATCATAGCTTGGAATAGAGGTTTGCAAAGCAGAAAAGCTTATTCTCCAAGAATTTCATAGCACAAGGGACAGTCTGGGCTTGGCATTAGCACCAGGAAGGCAGACAGATGTGTCTTCTACTGAGAGAAGTTCTCAGCTCTCACTCAGCTTCCACAGATCCTATGAACAGTCTCATACTTTCACCAAGAAACTCTCCCTTGTAGTGAAATGCTGGCTCTTGGATTTAATGGGTGTGTTGTTGATGAACTCATTAAGACCAAAATTTTAATCTATTTTATCACATACAGCATCATCTACAGCTTAAAAACATTTATTGGGAGAAACCTACATGCACATACACAGAAAGAAAGGGGACAAGCATCTTTTCTGAACAAAATTTGTTAGGACACTTGAGAGACCACTCTGGACACTGGTACCTGACATAAACCATTAGGATAGACAAAGGCCCTAAACCAAAGTCCTTCTGTAGTCTCTAAATTCTATTTCGAGGGCTAGGGCTTGATCAACAAGCAAGAGCAAGTGTAGGAAACAGAAGCTGAGTGATCTGTCTGGGTAATTTCACATGGCAAATCCTGGTAACTTCTTGCTTAGATCTAAAATGATTAAGCTGGAGGCATAGTTGTTGAGTTGGTAAAGCACATGGTCACTGGCTTGTAACTGCCTAAACCTGAACAAGACAAAGAGAGGAAACAGCAGGCCAAGTGTTCCACAAGAAGGGCCTCTGGTTAGCATTTGCACATGTGCAAACATGATAGTTTGTTTATTTTCCAAAACTGACCTTAGCATGGCTAGTGGTTATGGACACAAACCACTGCTACACATCAGCTTTGACAGCTTCAGCCACACCAATGCTTGGGTAAGTTCTTTTTTACTATCACAACTGGCCTGCTTCCAAGCCCAGTAGAACCAAGACAGACTAACAATATTTTACTGCATTCCTACTGTCTCTGTTTCATACGGACCACAATGATCTGATGCCTCCCCCTTTCATCAGCAAAGGATCCTAAGCAGTGCATATAACTCATATCATGAAATTCAGGAAGGCTTAAGCCTCATTCTGGAAACTCTTGAAAAGCTGCTCTCACCCTACACAGCACATGGTCCATGCTGAGCCAGCCACTAAGCTCTAAACAAATTTTAGACCTCTGCTGGTTTTGCCTAAAGTGGTATTTTTTGGGCTGTTTCTCCTCTGACTGTTGAACAGTAGTACTCAATCTTATTGCAAATCTATTTGGTGGGTTTTTTTTCCCTTGAATCTCTTCAATGCTGAAGCTGACACTGATTTAATCTAGGAGAGATATGGTTCCCATAGTAATTTCTTACATTAAAGAACCTAGAGCTAGTGGGGGCAGGGGTTTGTTCTGTACCTATAGTGGAAATAACAACTTTCAAGTCCAGACAACCAGTAAAAGCAGCTTCTTCAGTACTTACGCTCCCAATTTAGTTCTCAGAAAAAAATCACTAACTTTGTTGATGTCACAGTAGGAAGTTTCATTTAAAAACAAATTCAGTCTTTGTGTTTTGCAGTTTTCATCTGTTAGTGTTCAGTGTCACACAGCATGACAGCTCTGGTAGAGCTCTGCTGACCCTCAACTCAGATGGTTGATTTGGAGGGCACAGTTAAATCCAGTGTACTCACAGTTCACTCAAGCAGCAGCCAGAAACCCAGCAGGTTTCCTTAAGCTCAAAACAGCTCTTCTGTGAGAGGCATTAGCAGTCTCTGCTTCAGAGCCACTTCCTTGCAAAGCCAACTTCCCACTACTCCTTCTCTAGGATCAAGATTTTTTTTTAAATTCTGAACCTCACATACTGCAATAAACAAGATAAAAGTAGAGGCCCATTCAGCTATTAATTCTCAATTTCAGAACAGACGTGTAGTGGGCTTTCAGCTTGCATGTAGCTATTAACTCCAAACAGTTTCACAAGCTCCCACAGAGAAGACTGCATGGTAAATACTATACTCACTTTGTGACAAAAGCTGAGAGAACTGGGGCCAAGGATTTAGGGAAATAATCCTGCTGGACCATATGGTTCAAGGTCATAAGAATACCATAGAGGCTTGGAACAGCTTTGATCTTCTCTTCACTCTGAGAAACACACAAGAAGTCAGACATCAGACAATCAGGATTTGACCTAAACCACTGCAATTCACACACAATGAATTCTCTGTTCAATGAAGTGCTCCCATACACTGTAGCAGAGAAAGCTGGTCACTAGACAGAGGGGGCCAATTCCACAGTCTCCCAGCACAAGCATCTGAAATAATGTATCAAGAGCATTCCAGTACTTATCAACTGACAGCAGTAGTAATAGGGAAAGGGAAGTAGCGAATCTGCGAGTGAAACAGCCAAATCTTCTCAGAGGCCCTGTGTCAAAAGTGTTCTCCTGAGGAATTTCAGACTTCAATCCATAAAGAATTCCGTTCCCTTAACATAATTTTTATTGTATTATTCTGTGGCTCATTTTTATACCATCTCCAGTTCTTTGACAGGCTTACTCCAGAACATGATGCAGTGTTCCCAGAACTGGTCTCACAACTATGTACGAGATAAAGCCAACAGTCATCCCCTTGATTACACAATGCCTGAGTTATTCTTATGCTTAGTGTGATGCTATCCTACATGGCCCAACTATTACATTGCTTTTATTTCTCCACTGGCATTTCAACAAAACCTCTCATTCTGTTCACAGGACCATGACCTGTGTTCCCAGTACATGAACCTGGAGTTCATGTATTAAGAATATCTTTTGCTCATGTGTTTCCAGTTACATAGGACTGACAATGCACCCTCTCCACATATGGAGGGCTGGTGGTGAATTAGACATATCACAGATCACAATCAGTGAGCTGATCTTCAAGGGCTTATATCATCAGTGCTACTTTCTGGCCAGAAAGAAATCTTCTGGAGCACAGGGCTGTGCCTCACGTATATTGCTATTTTCTATATGGGCAAGAGGTAGGTAGTAGTCCTCAAAACAGGCATTCTGCAGAACAAAATGCCATCTGGGGTTCCATTGACCTTTCTGAGAAGTGGGAAGCTCCATGTTGGGTCCAGTATACAATGAATACAGGGAGAAGCTAAACTGATATTTAGGAAATTAAGTCATATCCATGCATATGAACAAGGGTCTGGACCCTAAGCTGGATTATTACCAGGACATTCATAGGCCTACTTAATAGTAGGCTGCTATAACAGAGATTATGGCTCTTACGTAGTTTAGAATTGTCTTAGCTCAAGTTACCATTCTCAGCTTCCAGCTCTTGAAGCAGTGAGAAACACTAACCCTTGTAGCACAAGCAGGCAAAGTTGTTTAAGTCTGCAGACAGAACATCACTGAAAATAAAGCTAATTCCATGCAAATCACAGGCTTCCTACTGACCCTCCATCTTTTTTTCTAAATAAATAGATTTATTCCATGTAACTACTTAACACTAGCATTTGGCAGAGATTCCAAAGCATGAAGTTGAGTACTACCGATCTGGCACAAGTAGCTGATACATGTTTTTGATATGTGCTCTCAAGAAATGCCCTAAAGGACCCCTTTAACTAATAATATTGACAGGGCTTTTATATACACCATAGTCTAGCAGCAGCACTATTACCCTACCTGACCCTCCCTACCTTCAGGGGGTGACCAAGAATGCAGAGCACATTAAGCAGAAGATGTACAAAAAGGTGACACATGCTTCATCCTAAGGCAACCTTGCAATTTGCAGTTTCTGCTTGCCCTACAGACTTCCATTGACCCTGGACATCAGGCATGCATAGACACCCAGCTGCTCCCATGGCAACATAATTACCCAAAACCCTGCCAGTCTGGTCTGCAACAGCCTAAACAGACCATGATTTAACTCTTTCCTGCTTCCTCACCTTCAGTAGTCCCATTTGGATCAAGAGGTTTGTAATGAATGCATCTGAATTAAATGTGGCAGAACTGAAGGCTTTTTTCATCAAAGCATCTAAAAAGAGATAAGCACATTATTTTAAGCAATACAGGAAAAGGACACTTGTAGATATTAAGATGGATCATACAGGAACTCAGCTACTAAATTAGTTTTGTGACATAGTATTTGTTTTAGAGTTCATTTGTCTGTGTAGCTCTAATCTCTGAAACAGAACCCCTTAGGTACAGTAGAGAAAAAAAAAATAAAAATCCAACAAAACACACAAAGCCCACATGAGAATTTCCACACTGCCAAGCTTCAGATGCAATACACCTCAGTCCCATGCATCACCAGATGTTCTGCTCAGTGCATTTAAGCATGCATGCTATGAGCATACATGTATATAAATATGCAGATCAGATGAATCWGAGCACCAAGAGGTATAGCCTTGACTTTTTAAAGGCCAGCAATGATTCACTTTTCATTTGAAACCACAAGGAATGAGAGAACACAATGAGAAAACTTGTTCAGCTGTTTTCTGGGCTTCCTCAGGACTGATACTGTGCCCCAAACAATGGGCAAACCAGTGCTTTAACCTCTCATGTCTACAAGGTGAGCAAGGCCTATGTTTTTGATCTCGGACCATTCTGTTTTCTTAGAACAGGCAAAAATCACTAGGATGGCAGTAGAACCGTGTCAGACATGAACCAGGGCCCTCACTGTCAGCTGATGGTTATTTTTATGAAAGGAAAGTAATTGCCAGGTTCTACCTTTCCTGAAGAAGCAGGAATAAAGATAAATATATACATAAGCACACTTTAGACAACAGTTAATATCCTTTGTTCTATTTTTCACTGGAGAAACTCATAACAGGCATGAGCCAAGGTGCACAAGCTTAGTGAGGTGCCAACTGACTTTTTCACTGAGTGTACCCATAACCAGCTGCAGGGAACTGTTATGTTACTCATTTACAAACATGAGTTGCACCATGTCTGTGAATTCCAGATAAATTCCAAACTAGGGAAATGCACAACATACCCACCTTAAGTGGTCTTAAAAATAATTGATCCAGTTATTTTGCACACTACTAATAGTTAGCTCATTTATGGGACAACTGAACTGCTAGGAAATTTGAAAAAGATGAAAGGCAGTGGTCAAATGCCCAGGATTGTTTGGAAATTCCTATTTCCAAGCAAAAACATGGAGGGATACTATTAGTCCACACACTAATCAGATCTAGCCCAAATTACTCCTCCACAATAAAGTGTGAGAAATGGTCCCTTGTTTGAAGGTAAGTTTCTGTGTCTTGCCCCATACTGGAAATCTCTGCTTCCTGAAGAAATTAAAGATGTTTCAGACTGATAGAGACATCATCTAGGGGAGGTCTCTCTTTACATTCTCATAATACTACACTAGGGAGGCTACTTCCTGCAGAATACTTTTAAAATAAACACCCTTGGAAAGGTAACTGACCTTGGAACACAGAACTACTGGCTATTGACAGCCCAGCATCAAGGAGATGCAGTAAGGGCAGCCCACAGCAACAGCAGCTATGACAGGGCCATCGTCAAGCTTGGGCAGCACAAAATATGCCAGGTTCAGAATGAATCTCTCACTCCACACAACAGCATGGCACAGCTTGGCATTTTGTTATCTGTCAGGGCCAGAAAGGCCCAGTGGCCTGGCCCAAAGGGGCCTTGCCCCACCTTGCAGTGGTGTCCTTGGAACTGAACCAGGTCTCACCACAAAGTGAAGCAAGGCACAGTCACCTGTTGTTTCATGCACTGCCGTTTTCACTGGGGCTTCATCTTTGAAGACTGAGGATATCCTTAGGAGAGTTGCAACTACTTTCTCTACATCAGATGTATCTGTCTGAAAGAGGAAAAAAAAAAATCAGTACACTGCGAGACAACTACACAACATGGGTCTCTGCTAGGACTGTGGCAAGAATTACAGCCTTCGGCTGACTGACATCAGTTTGTCTTGCCATATCACAAGGCACAAGCAGCACAAACAAAATTACTCCATGTAGAAACTCTGATGCCAGTTTGAGCATTAACTGTATCATCTGCTTCCATAAGGTTCTTTGGGATCACTGGGAGAAAAGATGCAAATCTAGGTCAAGTTATGACCTCTGGCAATGAAACGATTTTAAGAGAAAAATCAAGCCCAGACAAGCACCAGCTCACCTACCTGCTGAGCTATCAGCACAGAGCACTTTGGTCCTAGTCGCAGCAGCTTCTCTGGTGATGGGAAAGCAAGGAACGTGGCAACATCCACAGGAGGAGATGGCACTGGAGTTGAAGCCTAAAGCAGGCAGAAACCATCTCAAGTTAATTTCTTGAAAGGAAATAAATTGTTTCAGCAAAGGGCACATGGGACAGGTCAGGGCACAGCTATACCAGGTCAGAATTTGTTCAGTTTGAAACTAGCCTGAGGCTGACCTAAGCCCAGAGATGGAATGGCCAGGATATGCTAGCACGATGGCATGGCACTGCACTTGCAAGGTCTCCACCACCTTCTGAACATGGAAGACTCTTTCTACCCATGTCTTGCTACAACCACGACTCAGCCTTTCCCTCCATGTGTATGTAATATCTGCACAGTTTAACAAAACACATTTTTCAACTAATCCATTTTCTTTATTTCCTGAATGTTATCTCCCTGTTACAATAGTGCCAGCCCATGCAGGAATGTGAATGCCTGCCAGTAGTTCAAGTTCAGACTCCAGAACCTCATTTCCTCCTTTACTTTTCTCCAGCTGATGAAACAGGAATCCATCTGGAAGTAAGCTTACCTGGGAATCAATTATCTTCTTAGGAGTCAGTGACTCCTGTTCTTCCACACCTCTCTCCTTCAGCTGTGGCTGTTCCTCTTCCTCCTCCTCATCTTCATCTTCCTCATCTTCATCATCCTCCTCCCCTTCATCATCACTAAGGTTTATATGTTACACATTACATTAATTAGACACTTGGAATTCCTGTACACTGGCACTCAAAACTTTTCAAGAACAAAAGAGCAGCCTCTCCTTGAAGTGCTACTGCAAGAAGCACATCTCACCTACAACACACCAAGAGGACATTCAGTCATCAGTCACCCAGTAGACAACAGGAAGAAAAGATCAACAAACACAATCAGTCATTAATGCTAAGGTAAGTCTATCAATGAAAACAAGACAAATTTAAGACACATCCTTGGCTGTGCTCACACGCAGAACAGCATCTATCAGCAATGAGAGAGTTGTTATTTTAAAATGAGATAGGTGAATGAAAGTGTTGATGAAAATTGTCAGAAAACTTCTGGTTTAAACTCTGGTACCATGCCTACCTCAACGATCCCAGCACAGATGCCATATTGAAGCCTTCAAGAATCTCATGGAGTTGCTCACATACCTCTTCTCCCAGACAGTTACCTAGGTTGATAGACAAGAATAAACAGCTAAATTCTCAAGAAAAAACTTGCATGCATCTGTCAACTCCCTTTCCTCTATCCCTTGCTTCTGAAATCAAACAATTATATGCTGTTTCTGTACAACACCTCAGGGGCAGCAATACAACTGCACTTATCAGACAGAATCAAACAGTTAAACACATTTCAGCAGCATTACACAATGGTTGGAGATGCAAACCCCCTAATGTTTCAGAGTGTGTTTGGAAGACTTCCTGTTAAATCTCTAAACAGCTCTTGTTCTTAGTGATTCTAAAACAGGAACAAACAGCACAGCACCAGTGAAACACAATGACTCAAGGTATGAATAGCAAAAGACAACAAAAGTCAAAATTCTCACGACTCTTCTGCAGAGTTGCACACAAAGGTTTTTGTTTGCAACTATGAAGTATCTGAGATAGCACTGAATAGAGTTTTAATGAAAACAGGTATAGCTATGAGATTAATCTTTACACTTTATGAGATGTACCAAAAATGCTTAACAATTAACAGAGTTCATGGTTTAAGAAAACTTCCAGGATCTAACAATTTCCTGTCCTGAGGTCATGAAAGTTCAGCTACTCTGAGTACTGTTTTTTATATGCTGATGATTGCAAGAATAAAATGTGGTTCTGTCAACATTCTTCCTAGTGGATTCTCACTGGAATCAAACTAGGCATACTTTAATCTAGCAAACTTACATACCATTGAGATCCAACTTCTCCAACTCTGTCTTATCTTCAATAGCTTCAGCAACAGTCAGCGCAGCATCTCGTTTGATCTCACAGAAAGACAAATTCAATTCCTAAAATGCAGAAGAACACTTTGTCTGCAGAATTCCTATTAACATCTATCATATCCATAAATTTTATGTCCTCACAAGTGTCCTGGAAAGACTCTCATTTGAAGAGGTTCCCAACAAAAGAAGTATTTTTAATTGAAAATAAAGCCTGACATAATCCTACCTCCTATACCTAAAAGGGGAATTATGAAACATACAGATAAGAGAAGCACCATTAAATGTGGTAATTTAAAAATACCTACAGCTCACCTAAAAGGTAGCAGACCTTTCAGTCTCTAGCAGTCAGAGATCTTCACTTACCAAGGGTCACAATAGCACTCCAAAACTCACACTCCAGTAAGTCTGACAGAAGGACAGCTACTGTACTGAACAGATTACACATTTGACCCTTCAGCTGCAAGTTAAGGCCATCAAAAAAAAAACAAGCCATGAGTGGTACTACTTCTGATAGACCCAGCCAACAGAGAAACCACGTGGACTAGTAAACAATAGTCAATACTCAATAGCCAGACACCATCCCACACCATTCCACATTGTGCTAAGTCAATCCCTTCCTAAGAAGAGATTGAATATTAACAGGAGAAGGGAAGCAGTCCTTGAACAGAATGAATCAGCTGCAATTGCTTCATGCTACCTTTCCTTAACCATTTGTGCTCTGGAAAACAGGATTTAACTTCTGGCTGTTCATCTCAATACCCCATTACTTAAGTATTGGAAGATTCAGACACAAGTTCCAGTAGAACCAGCAGAAGCCAAATCAAGGGATCACACACCACAAAGAATCTACTTTTCTGTACCAGGTTCATATACGCAAACAGGTATTAGAGCTCAGGTGAACTTTTGTCTTTGACTAGAAGATTAGGAATCACATGTTCAGCATCTGTCTCAGGGCAGTTATGACTCATGGCAGGAGCTTCTAGAGATCCTGGTTTGCTTACATTAGCAATTTGACTTCAGCCTATCGAAAATCTTGTCAGATTCAAATCCTGTGCAAATATTGATGTAGGAGGCTGTGGAATCACTGAAAAACTAAAAATACTTGGACATTTAACTGATGCTCTAACAAAGAAAAGGCATTAACTATAGGAGCTCTGAARTGGTGAAGACACTGCAAGCTGTTTCTGAAGAGAAACTCGTCAGTCCCCACTCATGAAGCTGTGGGAAGTTCTAAAAGCAGGTACTTCTGTTATCAGATTTCTTGAGAAGCACTTGCTGAGTTGAGCAACAGCTGTAAAAACATCAAGCAAAAATTAAACAGATAATTGGTACACCTCCACATAGCACAGCCCTAGCTGGCTGATGGGATGCCACTGATCTACAGCACAGCTTCTTGTTTTTCAGTTATGAGGACAAAGCCTACATGAAAATTAATCCTACTTTAAAGTAACCCATAGTGGAAGGAGAATGAATAGAAGAATATGAAATCAAAAACTTGCCATTTTTCAAAAGAACTGGACAGCAAGCAGGCAGTACCTTTAATTTATGAAGCCCTTCTTTAACAGCATCAGCGATAGCAACAGCACCCTTGGAACGCACCAGGCAGTCCCCAAAGTTGATCACTTCAATCTGCCGAAGCGCCTTCAGAGTCTGCAGAGCAAGACAGCACARATTTGAAAGAAGACAAGCAAGTAACTTCAGACCCAAGAAGGCACCATCACTTCTGGAATGCCATCTTTCCAATCACAGCATGACATGTGCTTCCATCAACCCAAAGGTGGTAATGCCAGCTAGACTTGAGACAAAACCCAAAAAGCCTGCTTAAAACAACTCACCTCTGCCATGGCCACAGCTCCTTTCTCTGTGAAGGTGTTGTCATTTAAGTTTATAACCTTAAGCAATGGGTTGATAGCAAAGGCCTGTGCCAGTGCTGTTATACCAGGATGGTTAATTCCATTCTGTGGCATATGGACCTCTTCTAGAGTCCCAATGATCTGGGAAAGGATGTTGAGAAAAAAAGCTGTTAGAAAACATACTTGAGCTCAAGGAGTATACTGCTCCACTCTTAGGATTTACTTAGATAATTACATTATCTAAGTTTCAAAACTCCATCAGTTCTTCTACAGAGAATTATTTACCAGCAATTCTGTCAAAAATCTCAGTGAAATTGCTGACTCATGGCAAATATCAGATTAACACTAAGCCCTGATTTAAAGAGCCACAAGTATAATTGTCCTATATGCCTACTCTAGATAACTTAAAGAGTTCCTCATCTGTGGCTCAACGACACTGAAACAGACCACACAACATCATTGGCTATGGTATTGTTCTAACTAAAATCAACATTTTTGCCCTGACTGCAGAAGCAAACATGTAAGACAGTACAAATATTGTTTATGGACTAAACAGCATGTCGTTTAACACAATAATTAACCCCATTTTGGTAGTGCCATTCAATATTAATTCTCCATGAATCACATTCTTAAATACTTAGGAGTTGCATAACAAGTCTTATTTTTGTCACGATTACTGATTAATCAAAATCGCAACCAGGCAGTTCTTTATGAAAAAGGTCAACCTGTAACCTGCAATATCATTGTTAACATACCTGACAATACACATTATGATTCAGAAGTCATTCTAGCAGCAATTGATGAAAGAAAAGGGAATTAGGTGGCCCCAACCACAGCAAATTCTCTTCCTCCAAAAAAGTGCAAGCGGGCCGGTGACAGCTAGAGAAAGCCAGGCAGCACTTCAAGCCCTGACCAGATGATCCTTGTAAAAACACTGGGCTCCTTTTGCCAGATGACTGAACAACTAGGCAAAGCAGCACTCAAGAGGACAAGCTGGAATACCTACTCCAATGCCAATCCACAACATTTAGCACAGAGAGGAAAAGAAACAGGATTATTAAATTACTCAGATGACTGTTTCTCCCTCAGGTAACTACTTTATGCAGCCACTAGTTATGTTTGGAAACTTACATCACTAACACTCACTAACTCTAATTCTACTTGTTGAAGACTCCAGTTTCAGCACAAGAACGACTGTGACTTTAGTAAGCCAACCACCTCCTGCCTTCAAGCTGAGGCAAACTGTGTGCATCATCTTTGATGCTAGCACTGAATCATAACTTGCTCCAATTTGCTGTCAAAGCAGCTCTGATTTGATACTCACCCCAAAGGCTTCAGCCAGGGCAGTGGCACCATCATTCTCCAGACGATTTCTGCCAGCCACAAATATTTTTAAAGCAAGAGGCTTGCCCTGGGCACTTGATTTCCTGTGACACTCTTTCAGAGCGGCTGCCAGTATCTAAAGATAAAAGAGGCAGTTTATACTCCCCCAGCATATCATTCCACAGGAATCAAACTGTGTTTTGTATATCCACCTCTCAAGAAATACTTTGGCATCACTGAAATGTACCTGTTTCTACAATAGGGTATACAATAAAACTGTCTCTTACCTGCAAAACTACACACTATGGTCTTAGGCAAGAATTGATAACTTTGCAACACAAAGACACACTGAGCTATCAAGAACATTTTGCTCTTAATCAGGCAAGTGCTTATGGGTAGAAAGTTAACTATGAGCTACCAATACACACTTGAAACAAAGGAAGTCCACTGGGCTGCCTTGGGAAAAAGGGCTCACAGCAGGTCAGATCCTTCCCTACTTAGTCCTGTGAAATGCATCCAAGTACAGGGTGCAATACCAGGCACCTACATGTATATACTGGGGTAAGTCCAGCAAAGGGTGCCAAGAATGATTAAAGTACTGGAGCATTTTACTCACTAGGATAATACTGACTCCTGAGATTATTAAGGCTAAAGAAGAAAAGGCTCTGGGAGAGATATTATCCATGTATGAAATCAGCCAGAACAACAGGATGAGCTGAGAAGGTGGTATAAAGAAGGCAGAGCCAGACAAATGTACACAAGCCAGTGCAGAGAAAATGCCATTTTAACACAAACTCCCTTTTTTACTGTGAGGGTTGTTAAACACTGGTATAGACTATTCATGGAAGTGACCATATTCAAAACCTGACTAGACACAGGCTTCAAGAACCTCGTGCAGTTGCCTTGAGCAGGGGAGTTGGTGATCACCAGAGATTCCTTCCAGTTTCATTCCCCAAGATGAGACAGCCCTTACCTTGCCACCACCAATGCCCATGCCACAATTATTGAGCTTGAGTTCCTGCAGAGTGTAGCATGCAGGGCTCTTCAGGAGAACCTCAAAGCCACGCACACCATCTGGCCCAAAGGCATTGTCACTCAGGTCCAGCTCCACCAGCTGGGCTCCAGCAGTGATGAGTGCATCCCCCAAAGATATCTGTAAGCAAACGGATGGCAGTGGGTGGGAGGGAATGGATTCACTTTTAGTGATAGCATGACTGTAGTGGCTAGATATGACAGTGATGCTGCAAAAAAATTTCCACTTTGGAGACAATTCTGCAAAGCTTCACAGGGAAATAAAACTTTACTCCTGAATCCAAAGAGGAAGTTGTGCAAATTAAGCTAGAGAYAACCATAAAGCAGTTACCAAGACATTATCCCATCCCTTTAGGTCAAATACTTTTCCAAGTGAGYATCCTCCTCTATGTTGCTGAAAGAAATATTGTTTTCATCATGCTGAGCTTATTGTGTTCTGGCTTCACAGGACTCAAGGAGAGAGGAAGCTCTATAATGGTCCTAGAATAAGAGCTAAGGTTTCTAAATAAATCATATGGCTACATCTTCTATCTGCTGGGTCATGAAAATGTTTTTTCCAGTGAAAAGCTCCCTCACTAGCATGGACTCACATTTATCTTTCAATCAACTCCTCTCCACCTCATACAGAAAGAGCAAAAGAGAATCGCTCACCTATTCTGAGACATTTGGTATTAACAGCACAGAGAGGGATAAGCTCTGTACCAAAATACAGACTCCCACAAAAAGCATGACAGGTGAGAAAAGAGGTTATATTAGTAAGAAGTCTTAGATCTAGTTTTTACTTACCAAAGCAGGAGGGATCTCAGACCTTAGCCTCCCTGTGAACATGTCACTCCAATGACACCTCTAAAATAAGAAGCATACAGATAAAAACCACTAAAATATTTAGGCCAACATAGTTGTAATGAACATTTACACATACAAGCTGCMTTACAGCACTGGGGACAGCTTAATGCTGTCTCCCTTTCCTTGGGTTGTCATTTGATTGTACCGAAGAGCTACAAGAACCAGTGTTACAATCAATCAATCACCACTTCACTTGCAATAACAAAATAACTGAAATGCACACCATAAACATTATACAAGAAGAATTCTTGTTTSTGTTCAAGCTGCCATTCTCTTCTGCAGAGAAAATTACCACAGAAAAAAAGCAACAGTAAACAGAAGGATACATTAGGAATGCAAATTTTACTAAGGTATGAAGCTCAACAATTTGAACTTACTTGAAAAGCCACACTTGCGTAATTAATATGTTTCATACCACTCTCCTTCCAACAGATAGTGTAGTGTCTCTAGCAGCACAGCATCCCCTTAAAATTAGGCTAGAGCAATAGCAGGAAAATACAGCTTGGGCAAATATAAACCTCCWGTTGCATTTCCTCCCTACTTAGACATTCTCTGAAGACTCTCTCCAGAAGATCCAACTCAGTTTTCCAGAGAGCTTCATTTGAACTTAAAAGTTTTGTTGCCATGGCTCTGTGTTTACAGGTGCTGCCTCCAAGAGAGGCTCTTCCTCACACAGCTTCCCAGCTTTAAATTTAAACTTCTAAACAGGAAGATAGGAATGCAGAAGGTGTTCCCATTATCCCAAAGTCTCCAAGTTATGCTGTATTTACGTAAGGTTGCTCTTCCTACTGGAAGYGCCACCAAGCAAGCTTTGGGGGTAACTAAAGGCAGGCTTCTCCAGGAAGAGCCTAGACAGGCTTCAGTATTTCCACATTATCTTCCCCTTGACTACTCCCCACTTCAGAATCTCACCTTGAGCTCACTTTTCTTCTCCAAGGCTTTGGCAATAACCTTTGCTGCCTCCACACCCACTGTGTTGCCTTCCAGACGCAAGGCTTCCAGGCCATCAAATTCCTCAATTTGCTTGATCACTTCTTCAGCTGCAAAAAGCAGATAATCTAGTTGGCTTTTTAACCATTGTCTTGGTTACCACAGTAACCCTCAGATCCAGTAACTCTTGTTCTACCTCTAGCAAAAACAGCTGAACAATATTATGTGAAAGGACCCTGAAACAGCAATCGGAAGAGGGCTGAAGTGTTAGGTCACCAGAGAGTACATTCTCCATTCCCTACCCTGCCTTCTCAATTTTTTCTAGTTCTATTCTGATAAACATCTTATTTGAACAAGTTTTTTGACTGCCCAAATAAAATTCCTCTGCCATTCAGCACATGGTCTAGAAGCTACAGTGCATGTCCATAGAAAGGTGGAAGGACTAGGTTAAAAGTTAATGGGAACTGGTGCCACATCACCAGGAAAAGGTTCCCACTGACAGCAAAAGTAACATCTGTTTAGAAAACACAGGGTGGAACAATTTAACACCACAGTAATCCTATGTAAGGCAAAGAAGCAAGCTGAAGTCTCTCCTGCCAGTGGGCATTTGTTATTATTCCCAAGATCCAAGGCCTCTCCCCTTAGTTCAGTGCCTCTGAGCTACTAAAACAATCTATACAAAAGCTTCACCTTTGGCATTAGTAATAAAAATAAGCATTTTAGCAAATAACCTCTCTGAAGAAACATGCTGTTTTTCTTGGAATGGCAGAAATGTTGATCTAAGAATACATACATTTTCTCCAGATATTTACATTAGCAGCCACTGTAAGACTTTTTCACTGTGGAACACACATACACCAAGACAAAAAGTGAAGTGTTGMAGCAGGCTAACATATTCCCCTGTGCATGTCTGATTCCAAGAGCTGTGACACACTTCCTTACCGTTTTGAAAAGGAGCACTGACTTCTACTGCCCACTGACTGTCAAAAGCACTTAGGGAGAACATGAAGAACGCAATTACAAACCAGAGACCCAGACCCCAGTTACAGCTGCTGCAGTACTGGTGCACTACTGCCAGGGCACTGGGTCAAAGCAGGGTACCAGAAGGGAAGGAAATGCCTCCATCAGAAGGAGCTGTAGCAGACACACCACTGTGTCACATATATTATGACAGCATGTCCATGCAGAATTTAGCAGGAGGTTTACCACAAGAGTTTACAACTTTCAGGGAAACACTTCCCAAGCACAAGGRTATTTTCTCTTACCATCTTCAGCTGTGTTGAGTTTCAGGCTCTGGCCTTTGAAGCTCAACTGTCCACCACCCACTTTGGTTTTGGCAAGTGACTCCGCAAGCTTAGTGATGTCTTCTGACGCCATTTTCTCACTTTTTCCAAAAGTTAAGATCTGTCAATTAAAAGAAATTGTCATCATAMAAACTCTCAAACTATAATACATAATCTGTATGCATAACCATATTTATATGAACACTAATGTATTTTTTTGTTACTGAGATATCTAATTGAGTTTTCAGYACCTTTCCCAGAGCTCAATTAAGATAGCTAGGCTAGATTAATATTCCAAAGCCAACCGGTCAGATGGTGCTGATTCTTCTAACATTAACAAGACTTGGGTTTTGATGGAGTTGCTATACTTCATAAATAAACAGCAGGCAAAACTATGGATTAAGGCCACATTAACACATTAATCTTTGTGCAAGACTAACAAACAATTACAACATAATATTCCTCTCTCCTCAAATGCCATCCTTTAACTATATGTGCCGCACTCTCCTTCTGCTCTTCAAAGAAAGCTAGAATTAAMACAATTGCTTTTCCTTTTTAGTGATATTCCCCAATAGTGCCCTTGTCAGCACAGTTCCAGAACTACCGAGCTGCTGAAAACRTTGTGTGTGCTGCATACAAAACTCTCTCAGCTTTCTGGGTGCTCTTTCCTTTCAGATGTCCCACTCACAAATTCATCACACAGATTAAACAGAATGATCTTCACACTCAAAATAAATTCGCAAACATTTAGCCCTGAGGCACATATTTGAAGCTAGCCATGCCTGGTAGCACCTGCATAGCATTATTCAAGGAATATTAATCACTCTATAAAGGAACCAGCCTCCATCCATTCAGCAGGATTAAAGGAGTATGTTTCTTATCCCACTACTTCCACTGGGATAAAAGACTACACACAACTAATGGTTGGAAATCACACACTTAGACTTTAGATATCAGAAGGGATGAAGTTTTGTTCCTGCAACAGAAAACTGGTTCCCTTCCCTCTTGTCTGATTTAAAAGTGATCCCACACTCTTGCAGCTCTTTGAGCGCAACAGCGCTGGTTTTAAAAYATCCCCTAAACAAAAGCTGTATATGCATGCTTTCCTCCTGATACCCCTGAAGCCTCCAGCTTCCCCAGAGTACCCCAGATTTCTTTTTATGGGTTTTTAATTTTAATATTGCTTTTGGAAACAAGGGGGAAAATCTCCAAGGCCAAAGAATGCAATTTTTCTAGGATGATTATCCTCCCAAGTAGGTGCTGCCAGTAGAAAGAAGCCTGCACAACTCACTCCACTCSTACCAGACCATGCAGACTCCAAACTCACAGACGTGCCAAAGCTCCACCAATCCAACATCAAGAAGAAAGAAAAAGAGAACATCCTCCAAACCAGACATGAACAGAAGTTAATATTTAAAGAAGGCTTCACCTAGACATGAACAGAAGTTAATATTTAAAGAAGGCTTCACCAGACATGAACATAAGTTAATATTTAAAGAAATCAGTCTGTTCACCTACTTCAATTAACACCTATACTTTTAAAAATCAGTTCCATTCTACTATTGTACTATGTTCTTCCTTACAGATGGACTCATCCTCTTGGCTTCTCTCCCTTAAATCTCCTTTTACTTTCTTCACCTTACACACAGACTACTTCCTAATCTCAACATACAAACCCAGTATCACATCCTGAAGTATGTTTTATAGCACACGTCAGCCACACTCAGCTGTCAACCTACCAGCGGCCTCTTCACTGCTAATTCTTCCACAGAGAAAGCTATGGGAAAAAAAACATTGAATAGTTAGTCTGTTTTGGCAAATACAACCAAGATCTGGAAAYGTCTGAAGAGATGTTTCCGTTTTACTTAAAGGTTTTATGAAACGTTACACTTCCTGATGGTCAAAAAAGTTAGTTCAGACGAACGCTTTAATTACAACACTTTGTCGACTCCAACAGACAAGACACCGGCTACCTGCTGATCGCCCAGCAACGGGGGGCCCGGCAGCGCGGGGCAACAGCCCGAGGTTCCCCCCACGCCAGCCCCTGACAGCATTCCCGCGTTGCTCGCTCCGGGGGTGTTTGAACGCTCCTCTCTTCCCCCGCGAGAGCTGCCGAGTGCCGGTCACACCCGCCCCATCTAAACGGAGTCTAAAGCGYGGCGGGAACGCCCCTTCCCGCGCCACGCGGGGAGCGGGAACGTGGAGAGGGACCCGCGGACAGACACGTGTGAACCACGCCCACGAGGGGGACCCTCGCCTGCGCCTGGGAGGGGCAAGTAAGGGAGCACCCCCCGCAGGCGGGGCCGAGGAACGCGTCAGCCCGCGGGATCTCCTCATCTCACGCACAGCCCCCTGGGCCGGCCGCTAACGGCGGCAGCTACCGCCTGTCCCCTCACCTCCTCGGGATTCCGCCGCCGGTGCCTGCCGGGGAAGGCGCGGGAGCCTCACGCCGCCGCCGCGCCGGGGCCGCTGGGTGAGGGGCGGGCGGGGGAGGCGGAGGATTTGAACGCCGGCAGTTCTGCTCCTCGCTCCGGGATTGGCTGCTGCGCCGTGACGTCACGGGGCGCGCCCCACCTCAGCCCGGCTGGTCTCGCCGCGCCGCGCATGGGCGGGGTTGCGGGGGCGCGTGGGGCGGCGGCCGCGGGGCACGCCGGGAGCTGTAGTCCTGTTCCTGCCCTCGGCTCCGGGTGCGGCGGACGCGCCAGAGGCCTGGACGGGCTGCGCGGGATGTGCCCAGGCCCAGTTCCCAGCGTTCGCGGAAGGGGCGCCGGGGGAGCTTCCGCATGCCCGCGGGTGGGACACGGGCACCTTTTGAAGTGAAGCCTCGCCTAGATAGTGACCCTGTGGGTCTCTTGTTTCCACTTGTTGCCGTCAGACCCTTCTGCTAAGGAAGGCATTTCACATAATMAGTTGGGAAAAGACCTCTGCGATCATCGAGTCCAAACTATAACCAAACACCACCTTGTAAACCAGATCATGGCACCAAGKGCCTCATCCAGTCTTTCCTTAAGCACTTCCAGGTACAGTGACTCCATCACCTTCCTGGCAGCCCATCCCAATGCCCAAYCATMCTTTGTGTGAAGAAATTCYWCCTAATGTCCAACCTAAACCTCYCCTGGTACAGCATAAGACTATGTYCTCTCATTTTGTCACTTTCACCCTGGAGTGCAAAGTCATTCYTGCTTAAGGATGCAAAAAAGCTTCGGTTTGTGTGACACATTGTGCATGACWTTTTCTTCCTGAGCATAGAAACATAAGTACAACAGATGAGGCAAGTGGCACCTCAGTTCCTTCTCTGCAGTCTGCAACCTACGGGCACCGATGTAGGTACCATTTCAGGTGGAAGATACCTGGTGAGATCACTACTGAGGTGGGCCATAGGCAGGATTTATTCTGACATTTGTTCCCAAAATAGAGAGGTATCTTCCAGCCTCTCACAAATTTCCCATCTGTGGTTTTAATAAGCAACAGCAAACACTTATATGGACCCAAGAAAAGAAGGTCAGTAGTTGATGGTGCTGTATGACCAGTCTCATAAATAGCAAGAGGAGTTTCTTTTGGAAGTGACGAAAATTAAGAGCCACGTAGGCACTAGACTATGGTTGTATGTGAGRAGCATAAAGCTGTCAGAATACGTAGAGCTGATGAGGGAATAAATTTGTGTGATCTCAAGAAGGAGCTTGAACCTGGAAAATATAAGCAAGAAATTTGGCACTGGATATTAGTTCCTCACAATTTTTAATAATGAGTAGGATCTTACCAGGTACATCAGATTCTCTTCCCTGTCATTCTCCCAAATATTGGGTAATTACCTGTGCCAGAGGGGCAAGAATAAAGTAATTTACTGTAGGTGCAGCTGTATTGGAATGCAGGYGTACCATGCTACTGTAACATAGATCCACACATTCATTCTTCCTAAAAAATAGCTTYACAAATCCAAGTAATTTTGCRACACTGTATCTAACAGGGATTTACTGTGTTTTGGCTCTTGCTGACTGCTTATGAGACTGAGACCTCAATAATCACTCTTTCAAACTGTGAAAATCTTCATGTTAACCACTACAGAAGGATCTTACATCATGAGAGGGGTTGGACATACGGGATCATGATCTTGACACCTCTCAGTCTTACAGGCAAAGGAAATWGGGCTGGAGGAAAGCACAACATGACTTTCAACTGAAAAATACAATCTTGAAAATTAATGTTCTTAAATTAAAAACTAATGCTTACTCCAGCACAACTCTTGATTGTGTGTACATTTTGGTTTTGTTCCTCTTTTTCTTCATGTCCTTATAACCTTTCTTCTCCTCATCCAGAGGTGATGTCCTTTTTTTCACAGGTTCTATAGAATTGGAAGAGTCCTGGGCTCTGTGACTCATTTGGTGATGGCTCTGTGAGGCTGCCCTCCCGCTGTGATCTGGCTTATCTGTCCTCCCCGAGTTTAATTTCTCCCTCCAGAACTGCTCCACCTTTCTTCTGCCCAAAACCACCCCATCCACAAGGTTTGCCATTTAATGTACATTTTGCCCAGCAGCTTCTGCACCAGAAGCCCAGGCTGGTTAGGTTCTACTCATCGTCATGGTGTCACTGCCTAAAAATAAGAAATAACAAATCTTCTGAGGAGTTAATAAAAAGAAATATTGTCTTATCCATGGATAGTAGCAATCTTTGGATCAAAATCAACATCTAAAATGTGCATTGTGATAAAATATTGTGAGGATATTAGGCAGCGTTCTCCAGTGTCATGTAGTACACAGCCTATATTTCATAAATTACCAGTTTATTGTGTTGACAATGCTGCCAGAAGCCAATCCTACTCAGTGTAATAGTCTTTTCTCTTCTGATCAGAATGTTTTACATATTAAGCAAATTTAGTACACTTCAGATGTTACCTTCTATCTGTCTCTGAATCTTGTCGGAGTTCCATAGTTGCAAAGCACAAGGTGACATTCTTGTGGGTCACTGTAAATAGAGAAGTGAGACAGGAGTAAACATGTCACTGATTACATTGGAAAAAAAACTTGGCAATTTAAACCAGTGTCAGTCTGGAAATGATTAACCTGATGGTAGATGGAATCCTTTAGGGAGAGGGAAACTTTTATCAGGGAGGCTGTACTGAGAGATGAGAATAAAACTCATTCCAGAGGGTTATTTGAAGTTAGTGATAGTGGAGCCGGGCAGGGATGGGTGACCCCCCTACCTAAGGTGCTCAGTGTCTCTGCATCTTCACAGCCATTGCCCACGGTAGAACATGTGCCACTCTGCCTCTGTTTCCCCCCAGCAGCTGTTTCCCGGGGCTCTGCCAGCACAGACTGCTACGGAGATTCAGTCCACTTTCTGGAAATATTGAGGGATTTGGGAGGAAAACAAGCCAAAAATCCARTTCCAGAAAGTGCCTAAACTCAAACTCACGTGTATAAATAAATATAAAAATATATATGCATCTACATACATATAATATATATAATGTAAATTGTACAATATCCAATTATACAAAATATTATACTAATGTTTTTATACATATACACACTGCATATATGCATCTACATATATATAATATATATTATATATGTATTT